CGAACTGACCGTAATAGAATCTAACATTGTGATTTTAGCAATTGAATATTTCACATAACATGAATGAATATCCAATGAGTGCCAACTAAAAATCCTTAAAAATTAATACAAATTTTATCGAAGTCCCAAGCCATGCTCTGGGGGCCAATCGCCTAACGGAAATGCTTTGGGAAACGCTAACGCTTACGATTTTATATTGTTATTTCTAGCCGCCTGAGGTTTTCGAATACCTCACGCTCATTTTTTTTAATATTGTTATTACCAATGCAAAAGAAAAAGAAAGAGCGCGAGGCATTTGAATACCTCAGGCGGCTAGAAATAACAAAATAAAATCGTAAGCGTTAGCGTTTTCCAAAGCATTTCCGTTAGGCGATTGGCCCCCTGGTGACCATTGGTGACGTTTAAACCGGTCTTGCAAATCGTCGCTATCCGCAGGTGATTCGCACTTATCTAAGAAGGAAGGAAGTTACTTGTCTCATCTCGACATATCGTGGGGCGACCCAACCACTGATTTGTATTACTGATTGGATTAATGAAGCGATGTCGTACGGGGCCTGCCTGGGTCAGCACCCGGCTCCTTTGTGCCATCAGCTGCCTCCATTAACACGTGTTCCTCGTAACTAATGTACGCATGATTCATGATTTTGTGTTGTAAGAATCGCATGCTGTCGCTGTTGCAGATAAAAGCCTTTTACATTTCTAAAGCATGTTTCGACACTCTTTATCTTGACATTAGAATATGAGCTGACAGCAGATAGCGTATATTCTGTTTTAACAACAGCAGGTTCTCTTTTATCCGAACTCCGAAGGATTCGTGGAGTGCTCGGATTATTGTCAGAGAATTTATAGGGTGTTTTTATAAAATAACACTAATATTATTGTTAAATTTCAAATGTCAATTTAAATAAACAAATATTTCCAACACTCACACCAATTAGCCTAGCCCCAAAGTAAGCACAGAAGGCTTGTGTTATGGGATACTAGGGTAACGGATAGAATACATATATTGTACATATATATAAGTATATTTATATAGAAATACATATTAAACATCCATGACTGGAGTACAAATGCTCGTATTCATCACACACATCTGCCCCCACCGAGTCGGCGTCACCATGAAACCCGGTGTGTAAACCACTCGGCCACTGAGGTCGTCAAAATATACATACATATAAATATATAATTATCTATAAACATTAAATTAACTAAACTTTTTTAAAGAAATTCTGTCTTAAATGCTAAAATACTTTTTTTTGCGAAATGAATGCGGCGGGTGTGGGACGTTCGGATTACAGAGGTGTTTAGATTAAAATGGATTCGGAGTATAGAGGCTCTGCTGTAGTCGATTCTTTTTTATGGTTCTGTAAGTGGCGATAAGTCCCTTAATGCTCCACTGGCTAATCCAACACAAACGAAAAAACAAAACTAGGTAGGTATATTGTTCGTTCAAAATTAATGGTGACTGATGCTACCTAGCTACGAATATTTTAAGTAAAGAAAGTAAGACTTGAAGTTTTTGATAAAAATATCCTAGATCTGTTATTATTCACGCTAAAGTTATTTTTTCTTATGACAAATTTTATTTGACCAGCTTAAGTATAAAGTTATTGTAGATCAATCGATATGCCACATTAGATTTATTTGCTCCAAATACTCAAGGTACATAATGAGATACAATGCAAAAAGTTTTCTGTTTGCTTTCAGGCATAGTTCCGATGTGTATTAAATATTTGCCCATGCCACTTCAACAGGTGAACAAATCAATACTGCGGTTCAATGAGTGAGCGAGTTATCAGTGTACGTACAAACTTACGCATCGCGTTATCGACAATTTGTGGTTTTATCAAGCACCTGTTATCAAAAAGTAGGGAATGAGTGTTTAACAGAAATAGTGACCTAATTCTAGAAAAATGCATACTGTATTGATTTGGAAACACTAATTCTATCACAGCCAAAAAACTGCTAAACGGCAGCATTTCGTAAATCTACAGCTCATGGCGCCTACGAGATGGAGTCAAAAGAAAAAGTAAGGTATAAGGTCAGGTTAATTTTATACCATACAGAATCGTTAGGTAAAATAATGGTTATACAGTAGAACCTTGATAACTTAAACTTAAGAACGTAAAAACGTCTATCAACATCAGCCTATTGATGTCCCCACTGCTGGGGCACAGGCCTTCCCTATGGATGGAATAGGGAGATTGGGCCATGACCCACCACGCGGGCCCAGTGTAAAACCTCCATAAATTAATAAAATTCTGTGTTCCCTTCCCCTCGGAGTCCAAATCCTCTTTTACTTAAAATACGAACCCTCTCTATCTTAAACGCATAATTTTGGCATCAAACCTCAGCTCAAATTTTTAACGACGACGACGACCTTTGTAAATTCAATCATTTATCAACGAGTAATTTTTAATGATTGTATAAAGAAAAAAGGTTCTCTGTAGACCGTTGTTATTGCTTACACGTATTTACCAAATGGCTTCAAATGTAAACAATACACTAAGGCCCGTATTACAGAATGACAACTAAGTGTTGATCATTACTAGTACAATTAGAAAGGGATGTCGCTATGTGCTATATACAGCAACATCCCTTTCTAACTATGCTCAAGACTAGATCAATCACTGAGAATCTTTCTATAATGCGGGCCTTAGGTCTCATTACAGTAACTTATATGTATCATTAGCTTTTAGCCTTCGTTCGAACATAGCTCGTCTATCTCTATAATTCTTACACATAGCTCATAAACGAACCTCTGTAAGTAAAAATATAAACAAATAAAAACTCCATAACTCAAACCCCTTAGTAAGTAAAACCCTCAAAAATTATTTAACGTTTCCCTTGGTTTTTATCTAATCGAGGTTCTACTGTATTACAAACGAAACAATGTAGTGAAGTCGACTCCTGCCAATATTCAATAATTACTTTTTGGCTTGTAAAAGGTTAACAACAAGTATTTGACCATCAGATGGCATCCTTGTCGCAGTGTTTCCTAACCTTTCCAATACTGCTACCCCTGTAACCTATTAGGAAAACAGATTTTACCCCGACTTTAAAATGTTATCATCAGTCCAAGAAATTCCAATTTGGCCGCTACATCTTCGTCTCTAATAATGACATCATCAGAGAGAGAGAGAAAATCTCGCCCCGCTTCCCAACACTCAGCAGCCCGCGGGCTCGCTAGCAAGAAGGAGCGCATGCTCTATTTAGTAGTATTATCATATAGTATTTTTTTATTATTTAGATTTGACCAAATAATTAGGTTTTTTGTTACCTCCGAAGTATGGCTGATTTACCCCCGGAGGGGTAATTACCCCCAGGTTCGGAACCTAGGCCTTATCGTAATAGGTTCTCTGTTCATAGTTACATAGGTATTTTTTTTACGCTTACGATACTGGAGTACATACATTCACAGCCAAGCACATACATGGCTGTGGTACATTAATTTGGCGCGATATCCATTTTTTATATAAATAGAGAAACAAACTTATCGTACCGTTAATAAGACTATGAGATTCTTGTTTACGTTTTTTTATCACCCATTTTTACGACGCTTTTGCGATCCGTTCCTGTTAACCAGTATGAGTTATGAATGGTCGGAAACGTTTCCCTGGTTATTTATGGTCGTCAGTTCAATAAAATTATGTGGATTTATTACATGAAATTGAAGTGAAGTTGTAAGCTAAATTATAACTCAAATCATTCTTAAATTGATGTTTCAAGTTGAATGAAAACAAAATAAGGGTCAAGTGCTAGCTGGACATGTTACATGTTACACATTTTATTTAGAAATTAATTCAAAAGGTTCGTCAAGCATTCAAATCCAAAATCATAAGGGGTATACAGATAGACGCGCCACTGAGCGCAATTTTAAAATAGCTGTACAAAATCAAACTTTGTCATACTTAAAAAGATACACGTTTCATTGGGAGAAGTAAAAAAAAAAAGCGGTCAAGTGCGAGTCGGACGTCGGATTTTTTTTTATTTTATCATTCTCTTATTTTAACTATTCAGTTTAAGAATAAATTATATTAAAAACCTCATTTTTGAAGACCTACCTATCCATAGACACGTATGGGTTTGATGAAAAAATATTTGCGTTTCAGTTCGAAGTATAGGGAACCTCAAAATTTACTGTTTTTTTTTCTATTTTTGTGTGAAAATCTTAATGCCGTTCACAGAATACATCTACTTACCAAGTTTCAACAGTATAGTTTCGGAAAAAATTGGCTGTGACATAGTAACGGACAGACGGACGTTCCGTTTTTTGCCATTTGGCTACGGAACCCTAAAAATGTCAGCCTCGACTTACGCCCCAAACTTAAATACGTATCTTTTTATGCAGTAAATATTATTTTATTTTGCATAGAAACTGCGCCTCGTCGCGTCTCGGTGTGGTCTGTCCGACTTTCGTAACTTATCGTAATCATAATGACTGATTGAACATTTTATCATTCTAGTGATATTTTTAAATTTTCGGTGAGATATGAAATCCAATGAAATAAATATTTTTAACATTCAGATTGTTTTATGCTTTATTAACGGTATAAAATACTATATGATAATGGTACATAGATAGTATAGTAGTAGTTAGTAGTTATAGTGGATCAATTCAATAATAAATATACAGCAATGGGTCGAGTGCAGCATTCGCGCTCATAATTAAAACATTCACGGCTACCGGGATTCGAACCCAGTCTTGTCTTGAAACGGATGTCGTCACCTATGCGCGGATGACTAAGATAAAAATTAAACATTTTTTACTGCATTGCAACAAATTGCAACGCGTAATGTAATCGCAATAAATTTAACCGTTGTGTTAGTTAGAAAATTGTAGCAATGGATGGGAATTTTATTTGAGCATCCGAGATAAGATTATTTCTGCTTTGTAAGGAGATGGCGAAGTCTTAAAGTTGAATTTTAGCCCTAGTTTGTCTAATATAGATACGTAGTTAGTTGTAGCAAGTAGTACAATGTTAATATGACTAACTCACCACAGCGTTAAGTTTTCCGCGTACAGTTATCCCGACCATGGGGGCGAAGCGGACTTCAACTCCAGGCTCTATTATCAGTTCTGCGTCCCTCTCAACAAGTAGGTCATCCCTCAGAAGGTAAGGGCTGTTATCCGACTTCCAAAAGGTCCTTCCGCCGGCGATAACACCGCCCGGCAATTCCGTCAACCCCAACGACTTGTTCAACAGATAAGGATCCGAAGCCCCCACACCCATCACCGCCTGACCCCCGCAACCGCACAAACAACACAGAAACCACACTACCACGGTCCTCCACTTATACTTCGTGTCACTGAACTGACTGTGCCTTTTCAGCACTCCCATATCCTTGGAACACTCCATTGTTCATCAACTGAACACAATTTTTCTCATTTCACTTTTACTGAGACTCCTCACCTGTTTATTTCAACACCTTTACAAACACCGCACAGGTAATTCACCTACGTAAAGATAACAGTGTACATTTCGATAAATTATAATCAAGGCGCTCTTTTGTAGAAATAACTGTTTTGTTATTAAATTTGAATAAATACAATTCATAACGAAACAAAGGTGGGGTGGGGTGGTTAAAAAGAAAACAAATACAAAAATGCGCGCTCGCTACGGAGCCGCGCGACCGTTGAACGACAAAGTTGTTTGGCCGGTTTCGTGCGGTAGCGTAGCCCTCTCCCTCCTCCCTGCCCTCCTTCCCTCCTCACGCGCTGCAAAGCCTTCCCTCCTCCCTTCCAATCCAAACTTTATTCACTCACTCATACAGATCACACTAGCTCACTCACTCACTTCTCGCCTCGCCGCACCCGCCGCGTAGGCCGGCTGGGCGGGCTGGTTCCGGTCAACCACCAACCGCCTAACACCACAGATTAGTCAAGTTAGAGTAAAAGTGCATTCAGACTACGCTATATTATGACATCTGAAATAAATATATAGCTCAATGTAAAAACACATCATTATCGCGCATCATATTTTAGTTCAAACTACGCTTTACTATAAGTATTTGCTTGCTATACGCTCCGAAGTTCAGCGATGTGCTATAAGCATCGCGCGGATTTCGGCCACGGCCAAGACTCAAATTAGAGAAGCTAAGACCTTAACATTAACTAATAACATAAAAATTGTGTGTATCAGCTCCGACGCACGACTGGAGTTTACTCCTTAAATTCGATAGTCTAACCAGACGCAAAAAGAGTTTATTTAACTTAAAAAAGATTGATACTGTATGAAAGGGTAAATTAACAAATTAATGAAAATAATATACATATATAAATTATTATTTATTCATTTCATATACATTGATTATAACAAATCGACGAAATATTTTACATTAAACTTTTTACAATAGTCAATTTCAGATGTGCATAAATATATTATTTTAAGTTATTGTACATCTTAGTGTTTTTATTTGTTTTGTTACCTACCTTAAGTCATGGTGGGCGATAACAGAGTCATGTTGTTAAGTTAAATATTTGTAAGGACAAATCTCAGTTGGTAGGCGATTATACGCCATCTGTGCATTTAAAATTTTAGTTCCTAAGTATCAAAATAGATGGCGCTGTCGTTCGTTGCGTGACGCTTGTAAATATGTTTGGAGCTACTTAAAGGCAAAACGTCACCTAACTAATAAAGAAATCTGTGGTCTAACAAAATACACTGTAGTTTCAATTTAATTCTTTTGCACTTAAGCTCTCGGATTTAAGAGTCATTTTGGCTCGAACAGGATGCGCACCAAAAACGTAACGAGGTCATTCATCGATAGATTTTACTCCTCACATTTTTTCTCATACCGGGCCCCTTATATATGCAAATCGATTCTTAATTAGTAAACTCCAAAAATGTTAATTAGATAATTAGATTTTTTACTATCAAATTGACTGATGATAACTATGATGATATTAGTGAATCATACATAAGTAAATATTTTGTTTGTTATTGAGTTAGTTATTATTACATTAAATTCAAAAACAAATAATGGTGTCGATTCTGGCATGATTCTCTAAACTTAACATGAGTCTCTCGTTTTCATTAAGAATACGCTGTTGTCAAATTTAAGTTAAGGTTTAGAGATTCATTCAGAATCGACACCAATATTTACTTTGTCATATAGATTACATAATCTCTTTCATATTTTTTGATATTTTATGTCCAAAAACTTTTATTCATTTAAATTACTTATTTTAATAAGAATGACTTTTGTTAAATCATTAAGAATAAACGACGACACAACACGACAGACATCTAAAACCGCTTAATACCGGCACTTCGCATGGCTATTCATATTTGCTATTTGCAAACTCTTCAGGAAAAAAAAGAGAGGCTGTTAACAAAAGCCTTTCTTTTTTTTCCTGAAGAGTATGACATGAACAACCTGTAGACTAAATGACAAATATCAAATACGAATAGCCATGTGAAGTGCCGGTATTACTATTTTTAATATCGCAAACGAACATCACTAGCTGTACTAGTACATTCAATTCATTCATTCTTCATCCATTCATTCAAGATCTAGACGCGCGCGCGTTCTCATTCGTTCTCTCTCTTCACTCATTCAAAATTTCATCGATTTGTTTCTCTCGTCAAGTTGATTTGTAAAATTTAATTTTAAATTGTTACATTTGCTAGTTGGGACATATGTAACTAGTACAATTTAACCATAATTATCTTCAATTATATTTACACGTAAGTACAAAGTGTAATCAGACTTCTAACAATTTTAACACGCCGTTGTCGTGGCATCCGACATTTTGTTTTATTATCTCCTTTGTACCCAATTAAAATTATGACGCCATAAAGTTCTGCGTATTACTTATAAAATATCGTTAAGTTAACGTCTTCCTTTTGCGATGCCTAGATAATGACATAGTTTATTTCAGATTTCAGATATCAAAATGAGTTCAGGTGGAACCCGCGTTTATGTCGGAGGACTCGTGGAAGGGATCAAGAAGGAAGACCTCGAGAGGGAATTTGACAAATACGGCAAATTGAACTCTGTCTGGGTGGCACTAAATCCCCCTGGTTTTGCTTTCATAGAATTTGAGAACATGCAGGAGGCGGAAGATGCGTGTAGTGCTATGAATGGTTTCGAGATGCTAGGCGCGACGTTAAAAGTAGAGTTGTCGAGAAAACGTGACGGTGCACGTAGAAGTGGTGGTAACTTCAGAGGTGGGCGAGGAGGCGGTAACTTCAGAGGTCGCTCCTTCGAAGGCCGAGGAGGCGGCAACAGGCCGTTCAACTCCTATGGAGGTGGTCGCCCTTACAACCGTAACGGTCAAGGTTATGGCTCCGGAAACGGTGGAGGTGGTGGTGGCAATTTCAGATCCCGGTCGCCAATCTCTCGATTTTAATTTAGTTTAGATATTTAATTAGGTATTAGTGTTATCGTAATCTGAAGCCTTCCAAGTGTTATAATTCAATGTTTGATAACACTAGTGGGTTTAATGCTCGGAAGAGTTCTTGCATTGTCTTTGGAATTAGAGGTAACAATTTTATTATTACTCTTTTACATTATATTTAGCTCTGTCTAGACATCCTGATTTTATAAATATCCGTAGAATCTTAATCATAGATTGTATGAATGCCATTTGTGTATTTAAAAATTTAAATGTAATTGTCTAATTGCGATAGAGATGTGCTTAAGTACTTACCACTGTATAGATATAGTGGTAAACTTCTCGAGCCAAACCGACTGACAGACGAATAACTTGCGCAGTAGATGTTTTGTTCATAAAATTGCTACTGCGCAGTATTCCCTGTCTATGGCTGATGCTCAAGAAGTTATATAGGTAGTTATTAGTCCTTGGTATATACAAGAAGTCACTCAAAGTAGACCAGATTACAAATTTTGACTATACATTTGTAACTGTAAATATCTTTGCACCAATTTAGTAGTATCAGATCATTGTGCCTTGTGCTATGGTGTAGAAAAAAACTTCCAAGGAAGCTGCACAAGATAAATGATTTTACCGCTGACAGTAGTACTGGAACTTTGGAGTTACTGATGACTTGGACAAATATATTTGGACAGTGTCTGAATTGATACAATGCAGCTGTATGAAGTGATTTAGCAGAATTGCACAGCACAGTTTTTCATATATAATTCTGATACAAGACAACTCGCTACTTATAGCTACATAGTCCGTTGACTTGAATTTGCATTTAATCCTAATTTTTGCTATAGTGATTAGGATATTTTACATATATATCATTATATATTCGACTTTATTTTCAAACATGTAAATTTGAGTTTGTGGTGATAAGGTTAATACTTATAAGGTTTTTGTTTCAGATTCCACGGGATTAACTATCTCGAATCAAATAATTCATTGAGAAGAATTTATGAACAATCTTCAGTGATTATTTAACATTTTACCTAAATAATTATTGCTAAGTTTCCTTTATATTAATTAAAAGATATTATATTACTTCAATCGCATTTTATTCATTTGATATAAAATATCCAGGTTACTCTTATTGCTAAGTATTAAAACTAAAATTGTTTTATGAAGGGCTGCTCAAACATGCCATGAGTAGTTCCATTTTGTTAAGGAAATTCTTGCCTTCCATCTTATCAAGCTTGATTTCCTTGAAGGCTCCACCAAGATTCTCCCATTTTTTATCTTGAACTAATTCACTAGAGAAGAAATCTTTTCTTGGAGATTGTGCTATAAATACTTGGATACCCACAGATGGTTCACATCTTATTGCTATCATTCTGTCACCTGTAAAGAGAAAGATTAAATAAATGTTCATTCCTATATATAGCCATTAACCGTAATATGGATGAAATCAGAAATCAATGTATCTATTCAAATTGGATGTATAGTTCAACTCTTTCAAATCATCCAAAAATTGTTTTTCCCTTCCACTCGTTATTGGACATAGCAAAAAATACCACCACATTAAAGTAGGTATAATATAAATATAACAAACAACATTTACAAATTATGTTGTCACAATGTTAATATAATCATGATTTATTTGATACAAGATAAAAAAGCATAGTTCATGAGCTGGATTGAGACTCATTATCAGCCTACTAATGTCCCCACTGCTGGGCCTTCCCTATGGATAGAATAGAGAGATTAAGCCATGACCCACTGTACACTGCTACAGTGCGGATTGGTGAGTGCAAGACTGAATTACTTACCCGAAGCGAAAAAGTTAGTTGAAAAGATAGTTTGCTGTTACCTCTTGGTATGGCGCTATTTAGTTTCCTTAGAAACTTTGACGTTGGCGGTATTAATACGGATCTGTCCATGTTCGTGCTTGGGGTACAGATGCAGCCGGGAGTCGGGACCAAGGGCTCGTGGGCATCCAATGACTAACCATTGCGGAAGGTGCTCAACATCCAAGAACGCGCCATCGAGTTCCTCGAGGGATTGAACCAAGATAATTTTTATCCCGAAAGAATGTTAAATTCGTGTGGGATTCTCAAAAAACTAAGTCGCGGGCGGTCGGTAGTTGAGTATAAAATCTTATCACATTATGGCCAGCAGTTGCCAGTAGGCCTATTCGCTAACTGCTTTTGACGGATAATGATAATATAAAGTGATAAACACCAAGCCATTTAGTGATCCACTACTGTTTATTATAAAGCCACTACGACATATGTTCTGTAAAGCATCGATGGATATGCAATCTTCTCTTAGCTACTTCTCAGATTACGGTACAAAAGGCAGATGGAGCGCACGGAACACGCAATGCTTGCCACCACAGCAAATATGAAGTCAAACGCGACTATCACTTCGCGCCAGTACTCCATAACGGATTGTGTTGTGAATACGTTCCGTGAATATTAAGATTTCATCAAAACTGTGCCGCCTTGTTCATAAATCGTAAAAACTATTAACGAAGACAAAAAAAGCGTTTACTTTTGACTTCGTATTTGCTTTGGTGGCACGCATTGCGTGTACCGTGCGCTCCATCTGCCTTTTGTTTTGTAATTTGAGAGTAACACACTGTATATTATGTCAAAAAAGTTAGCCAATAGGCCAGCAGGTCACCGCCGCCATCTGCCGACACACAGTGCGGTGTACTATAGTCACATGCGGGGTCGGCGAGAAGCGAAGCGAAGGCGAGAGAGAAACCGTTACTATAAACAAATTTGGATTAGGTTTAATTTCTGCGAACGGAACCCTTTCCACGCGAGTTGAACTTGAGTCACCGGCGGGAGCAGGCGAGGCCAGCAGGCAGGAGGCCGCGTTGCCGAGCGGCTCCACGGGCCCGGAGCCGGCCGGTAACTGGGAGCCTAATGGAGACACGGGCACATAGTCACCGGCGGGAGCAGGCGAGGCCAGCAGGCAGGAGGCCGCGTTGCCGAGCGGCTCCACGGGCCCGGAGCCGGCCGGTAACTGGGAGCCTAATGGAGACACGGGCACATAGTCACCGGCGGGAGCAGGCGAGGCCAGCAGGCAGGAGGCCGCGTTGCCGAGCGGCTCCACGGGCCCGGAGCCGGCCGGTAACTGGGGGCCTAATGGAGACACGGGCACATAGTCACCGGCGGGAGCAGGCGAGGCCAGCAGGCAGGAGGCCGCGTTGCCGAGCGGCTCCACGGGCCCGGAGCCGGCCGGTAACTGGGAGCCTAATGGAGACACGGGCACATAGTCACCGGCGGGAGCAGGCGAGGCCAGCAGGCAGGAGGCCGCGTCACCGAGCGGCTCCACGGGCCCGGAGCCGGCCGGTAACTGGGAGCCTAATGGATACACGGGCACATAGTCACCGGCGGGAGCAGGCGAGGCCAGCAGGCAGGAGGCAGCGTTGCCGAGCAGCTCCACGGGCCCGGAGCCGGCCGGTAACTGGGAGCCTAATGGATACACGGGCACATAGTCACCGGCGGGAGCAGGCGAGGCCAGCAGGCAGGAGGCAGCGTTGCCGAGCGGCTCCACGGGCCCGGAGCCGGCCGGTTACTGGGAGCCTAATGGATACACGGGCACATAGTCACCGGCGGGAGCAGGCGAGGCCAGCAGGCAGGAGGCCGCGTTGCCGAGCGGCTCCACGGGCCCGGAGCCGGCCGGTAACTGGGAGCCTAATGGATACACGGGCACATAGTCACCGGCGGGAGCAGGCGAGGCCAGCAGGCAGGAGGCAGCGTTGCCGAGCGGCTCCACGGGCCCGGAGCCGGCCGGTAACTGGGGGCCTAATGGATACACGGGCACATAGTCACCGGCGGGAGCAGGCGAGGCCAGCAGGCAGGAGGCCGCGTTGCCGAGCGGCTCCACGGGCCCGGAGCCGGCCGGTAACTGGGAGCCTAATGGATACACGGGCACATAGTCACCGGCGGGAGCAGGCGAGGCCAGCAGGCAGGAGGCAGCGTTGCCGAGCGGCTCCACGGGCCCGGAGCCGGCCGGTAACTGGGGGCCTAATGGATACACGGGCACATAGTCACCGGCGGGAGCAGGCGAGGCCAGCAGGCAGGAGGCCGCGTTGCCGAGCGGCTCCACGGGCCCGGAGCCGGCCGGTAACTGGGGGCCTAATGGATACACGGGCACATAGTCACCGGCGGGAGCAGGCGAGGCCAGCAGGCAGGAGGCCGCGTTGCCGAGCGGCTCCACGGGCCCGGAGCCGGCCGGTAACTGGGAGCCTAATGGAGACACGGGCACATAGTCACCGGCGGGAGCAGGCGAGGCCAGCAGGCAGGAGGCCGCGTTGCCGAGCGGCTCCACGGGCCCGGAGCCGAGGTGCGCGGAGCTGGCTAGCAGCTGCCAGCCCATACAGCGTCCTACAGCCTGCACCGCCGTCATCTGGTGCTGGTAGATCTAACGCAAACACGATACGTCATTGGAATACCAATAGATATGAACAATTCTTATAGCTATGAGTCTCCGATATTTCGGCACTGTTGCAAACGCCATGATCACGGAGTAACCATATAATGTGTAATTGCGGGTTGCCATATTTTATAACAAACACAATAAAACAATAATTATCGATTTTGGTCCCGTCGTTCAGAAGTAAAGCGCGAACTAGTACATACATTTTGACGGTATTTTTTTATAAAATAGAAGATAAAAGAAAAGGCAGAGAAGATTCTATGTTTGTTATTCAATCACGCAAAAACGGCTGAAAGAATTTAAATAAAATCTACACACTTTTTAATTTATTACTTGGAATCAATATAGGATACCTTTTGCCCCGGAAACAAAACAGGAATTTTAAGGAACCACACATTACACTTTATTACTTGGAATGAAATAAGAATGAAAGTCGCAGTGACTCGAGTTTTACGGAACCATTGGTGTGTGAGCCTTACTCGGACTAAACAGGTGTTTTACCTCTTTAAAGAACCATTAGATATAACTAGCAAACCAGTGAACCAAATGTTCACCAAACCCTGATTTTTTAAAAAAAAATATATTAAATTAATTGAGAACTTCGGAGATTTTGTGTGGTTTCGTTTGAAATTCGTAATTTCTCGAAAACCGGAAGTGCTACGTTACTCAAATCCGGTTTGTAGTCTTATCAGACTATTCATAACTTATAACTTAAATATTCTCTTTATCTATCTCTTACGGTTTGGCCGCTGAAACAGCACCACAGACAGACAGACGGACGGACTTGTCTAATAAATAAGAGATGGTTGATATACCACTTCACTATACGCACCTGGCAATATATAAGATCCCTCAACTCCTGTAATTCGTATGACAGATGACGCACTTTCCCGTCTCGACATATGCACTTGAGCGTTTTCTCTCCAACGTGAACGACTAGGGAAGTTCGACAGACTGCATCATATCTGTGGGATATAATAGTTTCGTTTTAGGTACAAATAGTAGCAAACATAAGTAGCAGATCAAGTTTATTTTTTAAGCATTAAATTACTAGATGTTTAAATCTAAAGATTTTTTTTTAGATTTTTACTAGAAAAAAATCCACGACATGGAGATGGCGCTGTCTTGCAGCCTAAGAAATACCTGAGAAAATTCGATACGGCCATCAGGGCCGCGGTAGCATATTGGTCAGAGCAGATCAAGTTTTTTATCTAGCAAAATAGTGGTAGAGTCTGTGCAGAAAGAGAATGGGATTTAGATTGGAGGCGTTGTAGTGCTTTTCTACCGTATTTGTAAGGTTTTACCCCTTTAAGACATGATTAAATACAAAAAACCGCAAGAAATCACGACAACAAACAAATCCGTATCAATACAAAGCTTTGACGTTTTATAAAAATCTTAATGTTAGTTCCGTTTTTCGCCACGCCCATTCTCTTTCCGCACAGACTCTAGTTATCAAGATTTTTGAGTAATAAAAATAGTAGAAAACAACTATGTGCCTAGCAGGTAGAGCGAGGTAAGCAGCCATCTTAGCGGCTTGCGATATAAGAGTATAAACTCACACGCATTTAAAATTAACAACTTAAAAACATTATCAACAAATATAAATATTTTAAATGCAGAAGTGTGTCTTGTCTGTCTGTGTTATCTATTCACGCTTAAACTGCTGGACCGATTTAGATGGAATTTGGTAAAGACATAGGATAAGTTTCGGACCCAGAAATCATTCTTTAAGAAGATGAAAATAAAGTTGAAAGTTGGCATTGAAAATTCATTTTTTTACGGTCTTGCCAATCTTAATATGTATATATAAATCTCGTGTCACAATGTTTGTCCTCAATGGACTCCTAAACCACTTAACCGATTATAATAAAATTCGCACACCATGTGCAGTTCGATCCAACTTGAGAGATAGGATAGTTTAAATCTCAAATTATAGTCGCAATTTTAATTTATTGCAAATTATTACTTTTGGACGGTACGAAGGTCGCCGAGTCAGCTAGTGATAATATAAATAAATATTATTTGCCGAATGGTTGGTGCAACGATAATGTTCCTGACAACATCTCCAACGGTGCTGGATTCGAATCCCGGTAAGGTCATTTGTGTGACGAGCCTGAATATTTTTGTCCGAGTTTGGGACTAAATAATTCTTTTGAGTAATTCTAATTCATTAATTTAAATATTATTTTATTCCTAGCCTTTCTTAAGCTGCAAGGCAGCGCCATCTCGTCGCATTGTAGGTTCTTTCGATTTAATCATCGAGCAGTTACATGCTTAAATAATTACGATTTCGAACTATAATTGCTATTTCTTCTTTCAAATGTTTAATACTTGTAAAGGCATTCATTTGACATTGTGGGTTACCTACAATGCGAAGAGATGGCGTTGCCTTGCAGCTTAAGAAAGGCTAGAAAGAATTCGACACGACCGTCAGGGCTGCGGTAGCATAATGGTCAGTGCATTCGCCCGGATAGCGAAGGGTGCGTTCGCTGCCTGGTCTGCGTGGATTTTTTTTTAGTAATATTTTCTTTAGATTTAAACATCGAGCAGTTACATGCTTAAAAATGAAAATTATAACTATAATTTTATTATTTATAAATTTGAAAACTTACCCGTACGCCATTATATTTATTTTGACACACGACTGTGTGGGACTGTTCAACGCGTTCCAATGCGATACAATTAGTGGATCCTTCACCTTTTGACAAATAAATAAACACAAAAACAATTATGAAATATTTGGTAAACAATAAGTAATGGCATTTTTATATCGAATAAAAGACATTGTCATCATCGTCATCATCATCAGCCTATTAATGTCCCCACTGCTGGGGCACAGGCCTTCCCTATGGATGGAATAGGGAGATTGGGCCATGACCCACCACGCGGGCCCAGTGCGGATTGGTGGGTGCTAACGACTGCAGATGCAGCCGGGACCAACGGCTTAACGTGCCTTCTGAAGCACGGAGGAGCTCGAGATAGTAAATTTTTGGTCACCCATCCAATAACCGACCACTGCGAAAGTTGCTTAACTTTAACTATCGCAGCCGAATGCGCTAACCACTTGCGTCATCGAGCTCCTCATTGTAAACAAGTCCAAATCAAAATCAGATAGGTTGTCATTAAAAAAGGTTCATTATTCGATGTAGGGGTGCGCGTTCACCTGCATTCGTTCTGCACTGTTTGGGGAAAAATAGTTTATGAGCATAGGAATCTCTTATACGCTTCGAACTACTGGGAATCCGAATATTAATCTGTTTATTGCTTTCTAAACTATGATAACATACTCACCTCTTTAGCGATAGTGTCGAGGACGTATTCGCTGCGCCGGCGCATGAAGAAGTGTTGCGCCTGTTGTATGATCTGCTCCAGTAGGGACTGTTCCTTACTCATGTCCAGCAGTTCGTAGCGGTCCGCTGCCATTGGTCCTTTAATACAATCGCTAATATAAACAACTGGAGGATCCGACCGTCGTTCCGCCCAATAAAATTATTCAAAAAAATCCTAAGCCTACTGCAGCTCCACTGAAAAGGTAGAGTTATTTTTATTTAACTGATTTTAAAACTAGTATTTATTCAAAGAGTTCATCTTTCATGTTCCGCTTATGGGGCCTCATAATCATTCCACCAAAAGAAAATAGTCGTTCAACAGGGGCAGAACTCGGAGTTTTTTTTACATTTGGATACCTGTTCAAGGATTCTAAGGTATTGTCTTCATCTTTTACATAGTGTAGTGTTTCCAGATCTATTGTAGTAGTATTAACATTATTACTGGCTGCTGAAGAATCAAGAGTCCTCACCAAACATATAATAAGATTCTGTCCTTTCCTTCTTTTTAATATTATATGTCCACATTAGAAAATATAGTAATAATAGGATTATTATCCAAAAATGTTCTAAGTTTAAAATGAATACGAAGGAGATAACATTTAAACAATTCTCTAAAACGAAGAAGATTTTGCTAGCTGGTAACCCTTATTGCACACCCACGCCCTCATGTCAATGTCATTCACGTGTCATAAAAGTCTTGTAAGACTGTAGTTGACAATGACAACACTACGATCACGATCAGTGCGTTCATAAATAAGGTAATCTTGGATTTAAGAATGAAAAATAGGAAAAATGAATTATGAATGTAACAAAACTATTTTGTATTTAATAAATACTAAATATTTATATAGTTTGTCAAATGAATTACAAAATACATTTTAAGAAAAAAAGTATTTCAAATATAAAATAAAAAAAGGTATTTTGCATTTCAAATATATGTATGTCAAATAATTCACATATCTGGTTATTTTGCAATTTTTGGGGAAAAAAGCCGATAAAATAGACCAAAAAAGTTTTGAAATACTGAATCTGGTCACACTGGCCTTTTGTCTGTCTGTCTGTGTAACGTACCGGCGAGGCAGCGCCGCTTGGAGGGCCCCAGCGGGCCGGTGGCGGGGTGCGGGAAGGGGTGGTGAGTGTTTGCGTAGTGCACGGCCCGCAACAGTTGATGCAACGAATGCTCCAAAACGTGGTCGTGATCCGATTTGCCGGCCGCGCCCTCTGTCTACACAAACGATGGAAACAAAACCCTAAATATAAAGAAATTATAAATGACACCGAAGCATTAGGTACTCTCTAACAAAGGCCGCTAAAACATGGCTCCAAACTCCTACAGCTTAACGCGACATTGCACAAAACACTTTGACAAATCTGCAAAATAAAAAGAAAACTCAAAACTTACGCTTGTTTTGAATATTTGAACAGTACCTAGAGTATGTATTTAAAGTTACCTACAGTCTTAAACTATTTGAAAAAAGGTAACATAATAAGAATTAGTAACTTAGGAATCTGTCAGTAATTCAGATAACTTAACACAATGAATATTGAACATAACAAAATACCAATGGGCAGTAATTATGTATTAATTGAGTAAAATCTTAGTGCTAGCGAGTCTTAAAGAAGTCCATAGGTGAAAAAAAATTTTCTTTGAGGCAAATTGTGATGTAAATATTTCGGCTTGATATGGGGGACTCGTGTCGTGCGTGAGCAAGCGAAAGTGACGAAATATTCCGAACTCCTTCCTAAGATAGGTATTAGAATGATCGGCATTGCAGATTAGTCGGCAATTCGAAAACCGATTAGTCGGCAAATACTATAGTAGGCCCGGCCCATCTCTACTGCAAATGAATTAGGCTATCCATTTATTGGATAGGATAATGTTAAAAGGAAATCCCAAGTAATCCCATGATCGGCGTATTGATCCCATTTTTTTGCCCCGCCCACTTGGTCGCAGTTTGCGTGGACCCACTTTTCAGCGTAGTTCGTATTCCATATTATTACTAATTCGTTGCCTAAATCAAAGATCCTTCATGGCTAATTGATCATCATAAACAGATAATGGTATGATAAGTAGCGGCAAAGTTCTTGACCAAATCTACAGACAATTAAAATTGCGCAGTAGACGTTTTTGTATGTAAAATTGGTACTGCGCAGGCATCCTTGTCTATGGATGATGCTCAAGAAGTTTGCCTGGCTGTGTAATAGGGATGACGACTAACTTAGTTTTGTTCATCTGTCAGGGAGATTATCAAAAAGGAATGGAAACGTATTTTTTCTTTATTTACATACTCAAAACATAACAGTGATATATTGATTTGCAATGTCACGTGACGTCACGTCTTCTCACTAAGTTACACAAAAGTGAAGTCACGTGTCACGAGTCCCATAATCATAATCATCTTTATTTGCAGAATATGGTAACAAATGGTGATACAGAGATAAAGAGTATCCTATATTCTTACCCAATAGGGTGTGCAAATTAATTGTCATGTTGAGAAGAAAAATAAACATATTACAATTATCCCAAAGAATAATATAAAATAAAGTATAACAAATTCACATCATCACTGTCAAACAATATAATAGATTATTTGAATCTTATCAATTATAAACATAAATAATTATTTAAATTTCAACATTACTTAAATATTCCTTTAATGTACAATAAGCTTTATTTATTAAAAAAATTTTTAAGGTCACTTTATATTTAACCACATTATCGATTTGTCGTATATCTTTTGGTAGCTTGTTATATATTATCGGACCAACGCCATATAAGCTATTTCCAAACAAAGCAGTTTTATGTGGTATTTGACACAACTTATCATTGTGTCTTTTAGATATACAAACATTATAAAACAATTTTAAATTAACGTTTTAACAAAGGCACAAACTTCAAATATATTATTATATAAACAAGGTAGGTACCCCACTCCCAAACTTTGCTTTTGTAATTTTTTGTTTGATTAACAAAAGTTAAAATAAGTGTCCATTCTTTTTTGATAATCTAACTGATGAACTAGAATAGAATTTTTGACTAGTTTGTTCGTTTAATTTATCCCGTCATCATTCTTATTGTGTGGCCTGATGAGTAAAGAAGACGCAGAGGCAAAGTTTCATGGAGTGCGCGTATGTGAGTGAGCACTGGCGATGTTTCGCCGCCAATAGCAACGTTTCTAGGCGTACTGTAAGACGGGGAGCACTGAGTTTGATAAAAAAAACTTTATTTAGTCATAGTCACTTTATTATTTACACTGCTATGGAATCACTAAGTTACAGAAGAGGATTTACGTAAGGGCTTGAGGGGCTAGGCAAGGACGGAGCCAGGGGGGGGGGGGTCATGGGTCATGCCGACGACCCCCCCCCCCCCCTGGGCTGGGTCCATCTGTACCAACTTCACAATCTGTACCCACTGTGACTTGACCACGACTATATGACCCCCTCGGCGCCAAAGCTGGATCCGCCCTTGGGGCCAGAGCCCCGGGCCCCGCAGCGTATGAAAAATCAAGGAAAAAGTTCTTGTTCAGTTCTTAGAGAGTAACATAACGTGTTTTATTAGCTAACATTCCCATTAACGCATATTATGCATAAAAGCGGAATTTAGAACAATTGGAAATCAGATGATTTTCATATGCTTAAATGGGCCCCGCATCAATTTCAGCCCCAGGCCCCACCATTTTTAAATCCGCTCCTGCTTAGTTATTAACTACTTCCTTTTCGATTAAGGATAATGGACTCGCGGCTGGCTAGTTTATTAGGCCTTTGGATTGTTCCTCAAAGCTTCCTTGCTGAAGGCCAACCGGCGGCAGGCAGAAACCAGTTCCGTCGTTGGGCAGCAATTTCACAAATCAGAACAAGACTGGCGAAAATAATCAAATCGCGGGTTTTTGTCCAAAAATATTGCTGATCACAAAGTTAGTATTGGAAATAGTTATTTATTGTAGTTTCCCTAAGTCAACAAAGTTTCCGTAGTAAGCACTAGGTAGGCAGGTTATTGTGGCCCTCGCTGGGTATTGTAAATAAATAAAGCCACACTGGATAATGTTAATGAACTGTATTACTCTATTAAATTCAATATAATTTAACAAGTGTAGTACAGTAGCCTCTCCGGCGACGCACAATACGTAGCTGAACTCATTCCTGTCACTCAATCATTCACTGCTATGTATGTTTCATACAGTTATAACAGTACGCCACGCGCAATTGTATAAAACTTTACCTCTGTACATTCTTTACTCACGTGATTCGTGGTTTTTTCTACTTTACTTGACGAAAAAGGGGAAAAAATTTAAACATAGGTATGTATCTACTGCAGAAAGTTACAGATTTGATAGAAATGCAATAGATCAATGAAAAAAATAGGCCAACTGTTGTTAACTAATATTTCTGTATTGCATTTTTTTTAATTATTAAATTTTATTGTCATTTCATTCATGTAAGTGCCTGATTATATAATAATTTAAAAAAAGCAATAGTATTTTATTACATTCCAAATGGCATCTGTTCCTAACACCAAAAAAAATATGTGGTAAAGTTATTTATATTTTTATGTACACTTTCTAAACCATCCTTAAATATTTCTAATTGTATTATACCAAGTATGGCTAATACCAGATACTCTTTTATTTACCTTCACTCCTTCTGGATTTGCGTTGGGATTATTCTGTCCATTGTTATGGCAGAGCCCAATCAGCAGTTGAATGCCCGGGAGTACCTGAAGAAGAAAATAAGTCAAAAATTCTCATTTTATTTTTTTCCATTCCACACTTTAAACAAGCAGGTTCTCAATTGACCATAAGTTTGTAAAATTTAAGTTGGGGATTGTCTATTATGTCAGACTATGTATTATGTGGGCTTTTAAATTATAAGCGTTGTTCCTTACCCCCTTATTAATATACGAAAAATAAGTTTAGACTAGTTACCCAATGTTTTTTTTACCATATCACTCAATTGCTGTTTGCCATTCGATGAACAGAGGTAAATCATGGAGTAACTATTCCAAGTTTATTATTCGTTTATTAATAAGGGGTAAGTGTATAACATACATACACTTAAAGTGTTAAGACAAGCACGTATTTCAATTATTGCTTTGTCAATGTCTGCCTCGAGGAGCTCAATGATGCTCAATGCATTCGATCTGCGATTACGGAAGTTAAGCAACTTTCGAAAAGCGAAAGCAACGGATGGGTGATCAAATTTTATTATTTCTAACTCCTCTATGCTTCGAAAGTTATGTTAACTCGTTGGTCCCGGCTGTATCTGCAGTCGCTAGCACCTACCAAGACGCTGCCGCAATCACCCTATCCCATCCGTAGGGAAAGTCCATGCTCCAACATTGGGGACATTAATAAGCTGATAGATAATGATAATATAATTGACTCACAGTAGCCATGATCTGGTTCCCGACGACCATGTGTGGGATGGAAGCGTCCAACTATAAGGCTTTTGCTGCCAACCTCGCGAACAGTTCCTTGCATAATAGAACGTTCTGGACAGTTCCTAGTTTCTGCTGCCATTTGTAGCCCTATTGACCTTCAATGTATTTAAATTGAAGGCCGTAGGGTAGATGATAATGACAATTTACTCACAGTAGCCATGATCTGGTTGCCGACGATCATGTGAGGGATGGAAGCGTCCTACTGTACGGCTTCCGCTGCCAATCTCGCGGAAAGCTCTTTGCAGTAGAGAACGTTCTAGACAGTTTATACTAGTATTATTTTCCTATAAGTAACCGGAAGCCTAATGATAATAGATAATGCTGAAGAACTCATAACTGAAAAGCAGAAGAACAGCAGAAGAGAATGTTCTAAGTAGCTTGTAGCTTCTGCTGGAAGTGTACTTTTATAAGTACCTATCTGCAACGGCTGGTACCTAGAAGTGATGACATTAATAAGCTAATTATAGATGATGATTATGAACTCACAGTAGCCATGATCTGGTTGCCGACGACCATGTGTGGGATGGAAGCGTCCAACTGTACAGCTTCCGCTGCCAGCCTCGCGAACAGTTCCTTGCAGAAGAGAACGTTCTGGGCAGCTTCTAACTTCTGCTGCCAGTGGAGCTCGGCCCCGTCGCCGGGGAGAGTGCCGGGGCAGTTCAACGCTGATGAGCTCAATGTGGCTGTCACTACGTCTTCTTGTTCTATAGGAAATAATATGTAATGTTCTTCCAATTCAAGTACCGAGAGAGACTGATATTATAAATATATATCTTACTCCTTTCTTACACCAAGTTGGTGTAAACGAGGGGTAAGAATGGTAGGATGACAAATTTTATGTAATGTCCTGAATTTTTGTTCACACTCATATATGTATAGAATATGTAGAATACAAAATTTGTATGAGACTTTTTGGTTAAATAAAATAAATATACTTACAAAGTTAATTAGTCTTATAAACTTATATAGCTATTACTTGTTATCTACAGTGTAAAGTCGATCCGGCTTTACACTATAAATCCTCCATACAGCAAAAGTTTGTGAAATCATCCAACAAAAATTCATATACAAACTTTTTTTCTGATACGTGTTTCTGTACACACGCCGCACCGTCTACTACTCACCTGACTGTCGTTCACAAAATACCCAGGGCTGGGCAGGGCAAATGTAAAATTTGAAAAAAGTTTCATACATTTTATGTCAAGTTGAAACGTCAGAGTGAAAATTTATATTTGAAGGTTTGGAATGCAGCTCCCGTATCGGTTGTTAAAAAATAGCTGATGAAAAAATGCCATGCCCCTGCACCTGCGCAGGGGTGAGCTGTGTGAGATTTTTCCATCAGACTCGGAAAGCAAAAACTTTGATGATGCAAACAAATATGTGCAAGGAATGTTAATTATTTTTTTATTGTGTAGGGCGAAACACGCACTGAAGACCCGGCTTAAACTGTAAACGAATGTTTAAAACAGCCACATCAAGTATTTTACAAGTTTTATGTAAATGAAATATGTTTTTCTAGTCACAAGCATCAGTTGTTTCGTAGCGTATTGTGTGTAATTTTGTATGTATTTATACTGTTTATTATTAAATTTGTTTCAATCAAGTGTTGAACGACACTCACATTTGCTTTTTTTTGAAGGTTTTCGGGTCGTGTTGGTCCAGAAACACTGCTGGCGACTATGTATTTACCTTTCTGACAGAGCACAGATATGAAGGCGACGCCCTGCAGCTCGGGCGGCACGGTGACGCGCAGGGCGGAGGGTGCGGGCCCGGCCGCGTTCAGGCTCATCGCCTGCATCATCTGATCCTCGGGGGCTTTGGTCACCTGATACCGCACATAATATAATAATATGTCTCACTTATGTTATAAATGTGTAAGTTTATATGTTTGTTGTGAACACATTTGGGTCATACAGTGATACGCATATACTGACCTGGATTGAGACATAGGACACTTTTTATTCAGGAAAAATTACAGGTTCCTGTGGGATGGACAAGAAAAAAAAAATAACGCAGACTAAGTGGTGGACGGCGCTAGTGTTTTTAATAAATCACTGATCATATTTTTATTGTTTTATGATTTCTGATGTTTCAGGTAAGTTGTCTTGCAGGTTATAGGCTGTGATAGCTGTTTACTATTATTAGGGGGACCTCTTGCTTTATTGCTTGTGGTACAAAAAACCAATGATAGCAAATCAGAGATACCCATAACATTAGGTTTACTACATCATAGTTTTAAATGAAAAATGGCTTATTTATTTCTACAGAGAATTTACCTCGAAAACCCCCGTCTGACTGAACTTAGAGCCAGCAGTTCTGTAACTCAGATCTCCTACTATTGTATTGGACACTTTCTTCAGTCTCCAGTTTTGTCGTAGCCTCAATAAATCTATGTGGAAGTCAGGCATATTTCGGTTGATTCTCATGTTTTCGCTGGCACGAAGTCTTTCGACACCAGCCAATAGGACTGCTGCTGCTGCTCCGAGTGCTTTTTTACGTCCATACACTTGGACCATTGGGCGATTATCCACTTGTTCTGGCTGCACAGGATCCAATACCTGCATGGCATTATTTTTAGAATAACTACATATCTCAACACCGCATCAAGAAAGACCTTGCTATGGAGAATTTACTCCAAAAAAAGAAAAAAAAATATCAATTATAAGTACCACTTCAGCCATTTTTGACAGCATGGTTTGAATGTGTTGTTTTTGGACAAATCAGAAACTAAAAATTCTATTAACTGAAAGTAATTAAACTAATTATGAGTTTGTGACAGTTTTGTTTCCTAGAATATAAAAAGTAAACAAGAAAAAAAACAACATTTTAGTTTGTGTGTTTCATAATTATGAATATTATTTAAAATTATGCTGAATATTATTCATAACTAGCAAACCAGGCGAACTCCGTTTCGCCATCAGATGGCTTCGTTTTATGTAACATTTCGTTTGGTGATTAAAAGATTTTTTTTTTTTTTGAAATTTTTCCTGATATTTCTTTGCTATAAACCTCACGGAGCCCGAGACCTTTCCAACGAATGCAAAACCGTGGAAATCGGTTTGTGCATTCTGGAGTTATAGCGTCAGGAAGGAAAACCCGACTTATTTTTATATAGTAGATTTCCTGAATTTTCTTTGCTATAAACCTCACGGAGTCCGAGACCTTTCCAACGAATGCAAAACCGTGGAAATCGGTTCGTGCATTCTGGAGTTATAGCGTCAGGAAGGAAAACCCGACTTATTTTTATATAGTAGATTATGCTGTCATCTGAAATGAATATATTGTTTGTCCTATAGGCTTACCATGTATCTCTTTTCTTTAGCAATGTTCAAGACATCGGCCAACACACACACTTCTGTAAGTGCGTTCCTCAGTTTGTTCCTCACTGACTCCCAGGGCCACAGACTGGATTGGTAACCTGCATCTTTACTTTCTTCATCTGGTTTAGGATCTGTACTACTTTCTCCCTCTTTCTTGATGTTACAGAACTCATCATCACTCTTCGAGAAGTCAATTTTTTGTGCAAGTCTAGCCAAATTCTCTGACATAGACAGAGGACTGAAAATTTATTTGTCATTGAGTTTGTATACTTATGGTTAATAAAAAAAACAATGATGTTCAAAATGTTTATGTATTGAAACATAAATACTAACGCTTGATAAATTTCTTGACCATCATAGGTTATTTCCTGAATTTGATTCTCTATGGGAGCTTCGATTGATATGTTCACTGAGTTAGCCATGATTCTACAATAAATCCAAAACAATAATTCAAAAAGATAATAATTTAAATATTAATGAAGCTATTCCACCGATTTTCTTCATATTACCTGTTGTTGTAAGTACAAACTACTATAAAACGATATTTGATTGAAATTCTTGATTACCCTGTTTTACATTTTATTTAATGATGTTTATATTTCCGATAAATACCGTACATTTAATAAATAAATCTACACAAAACAGAAACCACTAAGCTCGAAAAAGAGATTTTTATTTGTCATGTCAATTGTCAATGTCAAATTGGAGAATGAAATGTCAAACAATTGGATTTAGGGATGAAATAAAATACTCCGATAAATCACTGGTGTTATTGGGTGATAAAAAAAACAGGCACCTATACTTTACGTATGTTTAAGTTTATGGTTAAATCAAAGATATACGTGGTTTAAATAAAGCCTTTTAATTTTGTTCTTTAGCTACATTACATAGATGAATGATTCATCATTCAATCAAATTCAAATGCTACATAATGAAAAACTTAAAAAAGTGGCTTCCACACGATACAATTTTACGTCCAATTTGATTAGATTGACAATCAAATTGTGTTGTGTGTACGGAAATATGAAATTGAAGGTCATTGGATGGTCGGTATCGCCCGATTCGGGATTGCCCAATCAAATTGGGTGGTGTGGACGCTAACTGGCCAATTTTTTAACGTAGTCACTGTGCAAGCGGCGTTCAGAGCGGGTGTGTGCGTTGACTTGTCTTTTGAGAAGAAAGATGGAGCAACATGACGACAATATTATGTCTATTCGATCTGAACGGGAGATAATGGAGGAGATTTTATATAAATACTAGCTGTCCCAGCGAACATCGTACCGCCATAAAAAAATAGGGGTTGGTGGTAGAAGGGTGAAAATTTTGGGTTGTATGTAATTTTATATGATGTATCATAAAAAAAAAAAAAAATTTTATCTAAAATTAAAAAAAAAAAATATTTAGGGGTGGATTACCCTTAACATTTAGGGGAATGAAAAATAGATGTTGTCCGATTCTCAGACCTACTCAATATGCACACAAAATTTCATGAGAATCGGTAGAGCCGTTTCGGAGGAGTTTAACCACAAACACCGCGACACGAGAATTTTATATATTAGATAAAGACTTGCCATGCCTTTGGTGTCTAACCCAAGCAAGGCATAATTCCTTAGAGATTTTGCTGAATAAGTGGAAAAATATTGATTAAAAATATTACTCTTTAAGTATAACTATATTTAAGTTTATTAATTGAGTCACTTAAATATAATATAACTATAATTAAGTGACCCAATTGCTTTCTTTTTAATAACCATTGTTTTGTCTACAGTCTTCTTTTTCTTTTTTTCTCATCTACATTTGTAGTTAGAGCCAAGATTAATCCAATTTTTTGCTTCTTGGTAAGAGGCATCCTAAAACAAACAAGTCCGTTCAGCAGAAGCAACAAATAAAACTGAAATTGGCGATCTTGTTTTGTATGTGTAGACGGACGACCCGATTGTACCCAATTCAATCGGCAATCAGATTGGCAATCAAATTGTGTCGTGTGGAAGGGGTTTAATGAGACATGAGTTATCTTTAACGAAAGTGAGATGGTTCCAATCTTTATTCCAACTATGGTCTGGATGTAATGGATTGCAATGTACTGATATAAAAATAGTATTATATAAGGTAAAAATAATAAATAGTATAATAAATAAAAAACGAGCGAGCCTTAAAGTAGTCGCGTATGATGAGTAACATCTGAAACCTCACCTTGTAATAGTAAAAAAAGAAATAAAATCTACTACAAAAGGAATAAGCCATTTGAACATTATGTTCTAAAATCATATCAAATAGTGCGCGCTTTCGCGACTTCCTGTTATACACTTCCGTCCCATTTCACGAAATCACGCCCACAAAATGCAGGAAATCGAGAGGAAAGATGTTACACATCAAAAACTTTAATGCACAACACGGTTAGACTGAAACGATCGACGGGCGAACTTCATGACTCACTTATCTGGGGTGAGGCTATCAACAAAAGGAGAGAGTTATTAGTAAATAGACATCACCAAGGCTTTGGAAAGGTTTTGGCACAAAAGCACTTATAGGTTTCCGTCTTATGGCGTATTTACATTTGGTCGTTAGCCCGTATTCGGATGCACGAAAAACATAACTCGAATTCGGGTACCCGATGTAATATTTTTAGATTGCTTTTACCCGAATATGAACTGGAAGACGGCGTCGAGTAACCAAAACGAAAACTGCCCGAATACGGCATACTCAACTCCGTTCATTTACACTTAGTCGTTTGTCCGAATTTCATAGGCAATCGTAATCGGGTTCACTACCAAGTTTAATTGCGCCATTATCCTCTGCACTTTTTTTTGTTACATATAAATGATTTCATTCATCTTGGCAATATTCATTGCTATGTGGACGATTGTACAGTACATGCGAAATATTTCGGATACTCCATGATTGGAAGGTTCGACACCAAGGAGTAACGGAAGAATCTTATTAATGAACTCAAACAGGTTTTGGACATTTCTAAATGGGATTACAAAAACTTGGTTGAGTTGAATGCTAAGAAAACCCAGGGCTGCGCTATCACTTCCTTTTCTTCAGGGCACTCGCGCTACAGAACAATATCACCATGCTCGATGAGGTTTAAATACCGGTACAAAAATACAAAGTCCTGAATCCTGAACAGTAACCTGCGTGGAATATTGCCCACATCTTTCGGCTGACTTGAACAAGTATTTGTTCAATGGTCTGGAATGGTTACAGCGGCGCGAGACCGGTATCCTTGGAAATGAGGAGGTTTCTAAACACCTCGAGCCTGTGGAATTACCATTCTATAGTTTATACTACGGCAACTGTTCTGAAGAGCACTTTTCCTTATTTATCTTTCTCCTTTCCTTCAGAGAACTACCAGCGTTGGTCTCCCCACCAATTTAATATGGCCACTATTTCAAGGTGAACATTCGGAAAGTCATTTCTTTATCACCGCATCCGCAAATGAAATGCTTTGTCCACTCACCTGTTTCCTTCCTTTCTGGGGTTATTAAAAGAGGCGTGAATAAGCAACGTGCGGACCATCAAGGTCAGAATGGCTAATGTGAAAAAGTGCTTCACCATTGAAATGTGCACTGCAAATGTGTACTTGAACTGCCCAAAACCGCTCTATTGGATTTTTCATACCTGCGCAATTTATAACTTGAAAACGGTAAGTAATACAAAAAAATTGTTTATACAAAAGTTGTTGGTAATTATGTACGAAACAACTTCGCCATTTAAAGTTTTCCATTAAAATGATATTTTCAGGGTGAAAAAGTTAAAAAACACTTTTTTGAGACTTTAGCGCCACCTACAATGCGCATTTTTTGTTGTACGAAATTGCAACAATGACATAAATTGTAGCACTCAACGCCCTCTACAATTATGGTTGAAAAAAAAGTTTCTCAAATGCATACAAAACAAGAAAAATGCGTTTCAAAAAATTTATGACGGTTTTTTTGAGTTTTTCAAAAAACGCCTACGAGTTCAACATGCCCATCGCCAAGGTGGCTTACTGACGTCATTTGGCAACAGAAAAACCAAGACTTACCCTTTAGGTTTTTTTTTCACGACTCAACCTACAGATTGACTGTACTAATACGCGTCCAGGGCGACAAGTTTTTAAAGATGGGTAGGTAAGGTGCCTTTGGTGTCACATTTGATTCCAAGCTATTGTGTCATTAAATAAAATAAGACTTACGATATCTACATTTGACATCAAAGACGTTGTTTTTTTTTCTAGCTACATAAAAACAATTTATATAAAAGTAATGAGAACTGGCTCTAATTAAAACCAGATGTTTTTAATTTTTAATAATTTAACTTACTTACGTTAAATATAAAAAAAAACTAGAAAAAATTGTGTGTGTGAGTTCCGACGCACGACTGGAGTTTACTCCTTAAGATCGATAGTCTAACCAGACGCAAAAAGAGTTTATTTAACTTAAAAAAGATTGATACTGTATGAAAGGGTAAATTAACAAATTAATGAAAATAATATACATATATAAAAATATATTTATTCATTTCATATACATTTATTATAACTAATCGACGAAATATTTTACATTAAACTTTTTACAATAGTCAATTTCAGATGTGCATAAATATATCATTAGGAATGTTGATAAATTATGTAATTATTATTATCAGACTATTATCATTTTTTTAAATATTAATTAAATCAACATTGTCTGCATTATTAATTACAGTGACAAGTGGTTTATGGTAACTAAAATAAGTCACATGGACGTTCGTAGATACGTGGTTCACGAATCTTGAAAATACCGCATCAATGGTTGTACCATACCTCGTTGTCCCCATTGCTCTATCAGAAACAATATCGAAATTCAGTTCAGATTTTAAAATTTTTATTAATGTCAATCCGTCATCTTTGTTTGTCAAACTTGCGCGATAGATTTTACTCCTCACATTTTTCTCATACCGGGCCGCAAATCGATTCTTTAGGAGTAAACTCCAAAAATCTACGCGGCCAGGTAGCAGAGTGGACTCGAACCCGCACCCTCTGCTATCCGAGCGGATGCACTGACGAATTATGCTACCGCGGCCATAGCGGCCGTGCATTAGTATGGAAAAAGGGGCTCAACAACACTACAACCGTTATCACGCTGTATATGGCTTTGGTTGGGTGGGGGTCTACTTAATTTTGTAAGTTTCCAGGGCGTACCCTGTAAAGTGCCTTATTACAATGACACTTTACCAAGGCACTGAAACAATAGTAACACGTTCAATTTCATTACCTCCCCTTATTATTGAGCTTCCGACTTTATACTCTAAAATAAAGCATTAATTGATTTATTTTCATGACTGACCCGTTTTCATTTCATTTCGTTGATTGTAAACTATAGGTTTTGTTATCAGGCATGTAGAATATGTGTGACTGTACTAATTGATGGTGAATATAATAACACATGAAACGCTCTTTACTAATTTTTGAGATCATTAAAAACATATTTAGACAAAGTCAAGTCGAGGGACTTTATTTATAAAGATGTTTATATTTTAGCTTAGTCATTAATTAATTTAAAAGTTAACACAGATAGACACAAATAGAATATAACTGGAACATTGCACTTTGTTGTTTGTTTAAGATAGACTCATTATCGGTAATATTATGCAGAAATTGTCAGTCTTTATATGCAGCTGGTGATTCTTGCATATCATTTATAAGCTCTTTTCTTGATATCTCATAATAAAGTTTAAAAACTTCCAGTTACACTTACTTATCTAAAAAGCTTATGTAACGGTGCAACGTCATAGCTACCGACTTTTTAAAATTTATTTATATAGAATCAAGTTTTCAGTAATTGAGTATTTTACAGTAAGTATAAAACTTAACGAAGAAGTGCCCGAACGATGCTAGAACGCCAAGTTCGAACTTTCATTCAACTAGAAAGACCTATGTATAAAGTACAGGTACATGTATATTGAATTGTATATGTATTATTGTTTTATTCCATTTCTTTGCTCATAATGTTCTAGGAATGTCACATGCAGTGTTAAGAGGTAGCCCGAATCCAAGTCAGCTCTATTTGGATGAGATACTAGATCAAGTTAGGAAAAATGCGAGTGATAATTCTGTCAAGAAAGAACGACACAAAGTTGGTGTTGGTGAAATCATTTATTATTCTATGAAACAGCACCCAGATAATGTCTATATGGTAAGTTAAAATATTATTTTAAAATCCAAACTTAGCTAAGTGATGTTGATATACCTAGTTTAAGAAAAAATAGAAACTGCAAGGTTGACTGACTCAACGATCAACGCACAGTCGAAACCAACAGGTGTAGTCTAAAAACTATAATCAAGGCACATTAGTTCTATTACTGAAGTGAGATCTAAAAAAGGATTTTTGTAAATTCATCTCTTCCCTGGGATTTAAATAATAAGTATTTTATACCTATATTTAAATACTTAGCAACTTTCGTAATTATTGTAAATATATTTTATAGATAAACGGCGCTACTGATGTAAGAATAACCAACCAGCAATTACTTGATAAAGCTGTCCCTTTGGCACGCACTTTTACCAATATGCTTAAGAAAGAGGCTATCGTCATGTTCGTGATGCGAAATCACCAAAATATGGCAGCAATATATTACGCTTCATTATTTTCTAATGTCATTCTATTTCCAATCGAACCCAATTCTACTTTACGTAAGTATTTTATGTTATTTCTTATTAAATCTATTTATAGCTAGACATCATCACTAAGCATAATCATTGGAGTAGCTAGGGATTCTTATTAGGGATGCAGCCGTCCAGTTGACTAATATTCTTTCCGAAATTAATTTATAAAAAGCAAAGGAGTTTTTATCCTTGAATTTTAGGGTAGCTCTCTCCCCTAGCTACGCTCATGAGTAATTCCTATATTCAATATTATTTAATTACTAGCTGTTCCAGCGAACTTCGTACCGCCATAAAAAAATAGGGGTTGGTGGTAGAAGGGTGAAAATTTAGGATTGTATGTATTTTTGAATGATGTATCATAAAAAATTAAAAAAATATATCTAAAATTGAAAAAAAAATTAGGGATGGATTACCCTTATGAAAAATAGATGTTGTCAGATTCTCAAACCTACCCAATATGCACACAAAATTTCATGAGAATCGGAAAAGCCGTTTCGGAGGAGTTTAACCACAAACACCGCGACACGAGAATTTTATATATTAGATTAGCCTCACTACTGAGCACCGCACCAACTTTCTGTATGTGTAGAAAATCGAGCAATACTGTCAATCTACCATCGCCATCGTAAAATCCATACACATAATTTTATTTTATATACTTATGCTTTAAATGAATATTTTTATTTCACACAGATGAACTCTGTCACTTCATAGCTCTTGTTTCACCGTATATTATATTTTGTGATCAAGATCAATACAAGGATGTCAGAAAGGCAGTAAATGAAACAAAGAAATCCAATATTAATGTAGTAATATCCGATGACAAAAACTTGGAATTATTTTGTAAAGGTCAGAGTGCTGATTTAGAAAGTTATCAGTAAGTTTTATTTTTTATTAATGGCAATTACTGCAGTGCACAATTTGCGACATTTGGATTTAACATGATTATTTCCACTCCACTGATAAACAATAACTACTTAATAAAAAAAACAATTTATAACTATAAATTGATAACAAGAAGTAAGCAGTTGATCTAACAGTCTACTTGTACATAAGATCACTTTTTGAAATACAGATTACATTTTTTTCTAAAACTAGGGTAACAGAAGCATTACCAGAATCGCAAGCTCTCCTTATACCTACCAGTGGATCATCAGGTCTTCCAAAAGCTACAATTTTAACACATGGCGGTCTTGTAGCACAATTGCCCACGTTATGGTTAGTATTTCAAAAACGATTGTATGAAGGCTTCAATAATGATTTCAAGAATTAATATTTTTTTATCTTATACTTATGAATTTGAACATGCACACTTCAAAAAAGGATGTTCTCAGTTTGACCTGTAAGTTTGTCTGATTTGGATAGGGTTTTCGGTATATAAATGAGTATTTATTAGAAAAGGTTTTAGTATATAATATACTTGCAGTGTCCCAAGGTTTCACCTGCTGAAATCGATTGGAAGAGCTCTATAATTCTATACACCTTTTTTTTGACGCAGGCAAAACCTCTGTTTACATACGACGGCGCCTTTAAGCGGCACACCGCCGAACGGATCTCACACCCTGCACTCGCAAACGTCACAGGCACGATGGAGCTAACCCCAAAAGTAACCCGCGCCATTTAAGAGCACGCTTAACGGCGTACTATTCGCTAAAAAACCCTGCGTATACCCTCTAAGCTGCTTAGTGCGAAGCCGCGGGATCCCCGTTTAGGGATTCTTCCGCGTCTCCGCACCCAGCAGCCTCCCGGCCTAGCCGGGGCTCCATGGCAGGGGTCTCCCTGGGTATCGCGGGGACACCGCAGACGTGCGCAGGATTGCCCGCGCGTGGGAGCCGAGTACGCGGCCTAGTGCCCACCGTACCACCCCCTGTCCGCTGCGGACGGCTACTTGGGCGTGCCCGTGTAGCTCCTTTCGCCGCCACCCTCTTTGCAGGACAGAACTACAAGAGGGGGGCTGCCGTCACGGGATCCCTCGGTGGCCGGCACAATCCGCTGTACCGGCCAGCTAGGGATCCCTGCGGGCAGGGTTATGGGACGGGCGCAGCCAGGGCGTGCATTCGTCCTCTCTTGCTCGCTCTTCTTCGGCGGGAGGGAGCGGCCAGGGGATCATCCTCCCGCTCCCTTTCGGCAGCCTCCTTCTGTGAGATGACGTTCTTGCAGAATAAGGCGGCCGATAATTCTATCCACTTACGCGTGTAATATTTACAATTAGTAGCGTATTCCGCATTACACAAAAAATATTTTTTTTTAGTAAAAATAGAACCAACTTCAAAAAAACTGATAATGATAAAATAAGAGTTGCCGACTGACATATTTGAAGTCAAATACCATTATCATGATCTCCATGCAAACATAGCTTGTTATCGACTTCAAATATACCCGTCGGTAAATCTTATTTTTTCATTTTAAGTATTTTGAAGAAGATTATTATGGATGATTGTATTGCATTTGTTTACTATTAGAATGTACGATTGTATTGGATTTGTCTTTTATAGGACCCATTCTAAAAAGTTTCCCCAACCAACGAAGTCATCGCTTCTGTTATCCACAGCTCAATGGTTAACACATACCAGTCTAATATGTTCCTGCCCTGTATATGGAGTAAGTCTGCTGATGACATCTCGAAAGGCCAATGTGAATCACGTTCTTGACATTTTAGAAAAGTACCGAGTAAGTTTTTGTACTAAATTAAAATGTCGTTGTAGTTTCATTAAATTCCTTGAATCGAAGATTTCAAGAACACTTTTATTTTTAATTGATTAGTTTTATATTTACAGCCATCATGGACGCTATTAGGACCCATTTTTGCGAAAAAATTAGCTGATATAGCGACCCCTAGTCAGCTGAGTTCCCTTGAGACAGTAGTTACTACTGGAGCTCCACTTACTGAAAACATTGTTTTGACGCTGAAGGTATCAATATTCTTTTGTATCTCTTATCTATTAGACAAGTCCGTCCGTCCGTCCGTCCGTGGTGCTGTTTCAGCGGCCAAACCGTAAGAGATAGATAATGCGAATGTTTAATTTATAAGTTAAGAATAGTCTGATAAGACTACAAACCGGATTTGAGTAACGTAGCACTTCCGGTTTTCGAGAAATCACGTGATTTCTATTTCAAACGAAACCACACAAAATCTCCGAAGTTCTCAATTAATTAATTTTTTTTTTTGGTGAACGTTTGGTTCACTGGTTTGCTAGTCTCTTATCTAATAGACAAGTCCATCCGTCCGTGGTGCTGTTTCAGCGGCCAAACCGTAAGAGATAGATAAAGAGAATGTTTAAGTTATAAGTTAAGAATAGTCTGATAAGACTACAAACCGGATTTGAGTAACGTAGCACTTCCGGTTTTCGAGAAATCACGTGATTTCTATTTCAAACGAAACCACACAAAATCTCCGAAGTTCTCAATTAATTGAATACATTTTTTTTGGTGAACATTTGGTTCACTGGTTTGCTAGTAAGCATATAATTCGATTGATTATTGACCTAATACCTAGCGATAAAACTCGTTTAATAAAAATAAACATAATATTAACGTATTTCAGGAAAAGCTCCCTCAAAAAGCTTTATTTAACAATGGAATGGGAACGACAGAGACTCACGGTTTTATAACGATGCCATCGCCTGATATGCACTGGTCTTCGAATGGTCATATTTCCAATACAGTTTTATATAAGGTACCAATACAAATTAGTTGATGTTTAATCGAAGAAAAATAATTTATAGAAACCCAGTCTATTCGTATACCAGCTATCTCAGTAGTCTTTCTGTTTATTGCAGAGCGTATTTTTCTAAAAAGGCACCCTATTTTATTTTTCTCTCTTGTAAAAAGTGCGTTTCTTTTGTACTAGAGTAATTGTAAGTAATCCTTGATTTCATTTAATTTGTTTTAGATTGTTACGGAAGATGGCCAAGAGGTCGACGACAGTGAAAAAGGAGAGCTTTATATTAAAAGTGATTTATGTGTTTTTAAGGTACCAAGTTAATTTAAGAGGAAGTCACTGTATAGCAGTGTTTCTTAAACTTTTAGAATTAAAAAAAATGCGCGCTCTTATCAAAGAATATTATTGCAAAAAATATCTTGCTTATATTTGTTTTTTGACCACTTACCTACCTTGTTTTGCTTTCGCATCTCTAATGTTCTTCCATCCCATAACGGATAATATATTTTAATAACTATTGACTTCTTTTCAGGGATATTACAAAAATGATGAAGCCTATAGAGAATTGATGACTGATGACGGCTGGTTTAGAACCGGCGATATTTTTTATAGGGATTACAAACATGAAGTGTATTTCGTTGAAAGGAAAAAGTTTTGGTTCAAATACATGAACTATCAAGTAAGTGAGCATTCTTTTACACTTAAATGTTTTTAGTACACTAACCGAAGTATTTCCGAACTTTAAAAAGGTTTTAATCTTCAATTGTTGGGCAGCCTATTCAAAATAGTTGTTAAATACTTCCAATTAGAAGGAATCAAAATATTTTTTTATTATTTGAATAAACACTATTTTCGATCCAGGTTAGGTTAGATATCTAACCTTAATATTTAATAAAATGTGATAAAAATAGAACACGGTGAATTTTATGATTCAATACTCATCTGGAAATACAATACATATTCGCAGATAGCACCTGAAGAAGTAGAGGGTGTGATAAGCTCAGTAACCGGGGTCCTAGAAAGTGTGGTAGCTGACAGCGTCAAAGGTCCTGCTGCTGCTGTGGTTTTGAGGACTAACCTCGGGTGCGCTGAGGAACATATAAGGAAACTTATACATCATACAGTTAATTGTAAGTTTCAAAGAACAATCTATCACTCTGATGGTTTTGTTTGTAAGTTTTCATTTATATCTAAGTAAGATGACCAGTTCTATAATAAATTGGAAGATATCCTCAGAAGTTCAGACCAAGTGCAAATGCATAATGGTTCACAAAACATTACGTACTTCATGAAGAGATAAACAGGTGCATGCCGAGCAACTCTGAGCATCTCTCAAAATTTCCTAATCCTCCAATTGAGCAAGCTGGCCGAGTCTCAAGACTGAGGATGAAGAAGTTCCCCTTTAAAGGAAGTAGTGGTGCTGGCCGGCTCTCGTCTCATACTTAGTTGCACTCAACAAATTTGCATAGCTGCTTAAAAGGTCAAAAGACTAATCGTAAATATTCATTATAATAAAATGCATCACTCCATGTCATTATGGCGTGAGAGTATCTATTTATGTATCAAAATTTTAACACCGGGAAACTATTTTGTGCTTATTTATACCCTTACAGAGGGCCAAGTTTAGGGAAATGTTTTGTTTTACAGACTGACAGTATGCGAAGAAAATAGTTATTAAGTAGCAAACACGAACAATTCACAAATAACGCCAACACTTTTTATTTTTCAGGTACACTTAGTGATTATAAAAGTTTGCGTGGAGGCGTTGCATTCGTCATATCTTTGCCATGCACACATAGTGGAAAAATAAACAGAAGTGAATGTAAAAAGCTTATAAAAACACTAATTGAAAGTGGCAAATGCTTTTAAATACCTACCTTGTATGAAAATAAATTAGATATTTAGTTGCTTGGTTAGTATTTTTTCATAATCATTACTTTTTATCCCCACTACTGGATTACTGTCCTTTTCCTTTGTGGCAACCCTTTTATTTATCCAGTCCACGACGTGGGTATAGAACGGGTAAGTAGGTGTTAAGGATTAAATGTGCAGCTAAGACCAACGACTTAACGTGCCTTCGAAAGCAAGAAAGAGCTTGAAATAATCCAAATAAAATGTTTCGCTCACTCACGTGTTTTCCTCCTTGTTACAACCCAGGGACCCTTTAATGAGGTAACTTACAGCCAAGCAAGGTGATGATGGCTAGAGCAATGGAATGCTGCGCCAGCTATTTTCGCGTCTGAACTCACCATCAAATGGGAAGGAGTCATTTGCTCGGACCTATTCATAAAAAAATACAAATATTTGGCTACTGTGACAGGCCATTGTTCAGAAAAATATGCAGTTCTTGGCATTATGGCCTTATCACCTGAATATAATCCCATCGCCCATGCACTGCAAAACCTTTCTCACCAGCTGAAACTACATAACCATTAGGTACACACACAAGGTCTTACAAAGAGGAGGCATATACATATTGTATAGAAGGGCACGCGGCGCTATAGTGCGAGCGGGAAATATAATTTAAATTACCCCACCTCTCATGAGATATCAAAATAAATACCTACTCAAGATCTTAGGACTGTTGTTATTTTTATTATGTTAGAACTAAACAGTTTAAAATAAAAGGTTCTTAAGTCTATTTTGCAGTCTTCCAATCCAGACGTTGTAATAAATACTGAAGTAGTATAGGAAATATATGAACGGTTTTAAAATACTACATAAATAGGCACATTGACACCAATGGTGACAATTCTAACAATGGTGACGATTCTCTTAACTTAAAACTAAATTCAAGATCAGTCTCTTCTTTTCATTCTGTAAAGAGAATGACAAGGATGAGAGAATCATGCTAGGGTCGATACCAATGTCTTCATTATTTTATCTTACCTACCACTATCACTTTAAAACCTGCCCAAAAATTGATTACCAGACAACGATTTTCATCAATAAAAATTAAATTTTAGGTAATTCAAATCAAATCAAATATCATTTAGTCGGCTTTCCACTCATAAAAATATATTTACAGTAGGTTGTACAAAAATACCTATACAGGATGTTTCTTTTAGGGTGTCAAGCCATCTAGTATTTTCCATATTTTGTCAATCTTAAGATTTTTTATCCTTTTTAGTTTATTTCTTTTATCAAACAACCTTAATATCAAGCTTAATCGCCAGTCCTCAACGTAGACACTTCCTTATTTAAGCGTAGAATAAAAATACCCGAGGAGGAGGATAACAGGAGTTTAGAGTGATTAGTTATCATAAAATGATTATTTTTATTTTAGAATGAGCTCCACTTAAACTAAAAGTGATAATAAGTGATAAGATTGACAAAATATACAAAGATACTATGAAATTATAAAACATCAAAATTACTCGATTTCCGATAGGTACAACACCATCAACAATAGATTTCAGCAAATAATGCCAAAGGGTGCGGCCAGAGTGCACTCAGATTCAGATTCAGATTCAGATTTCGAAAACAAGCGCGAGAAATAAACAGTGTAGTCGAAGGGTACGGCCAGATTGCACTCCTGATTCAGATTCAGATTCAGACTCAGAAAACAAAGCGCGAGAAAAAGCAGGCAACCTGCTTAGACTACACTGTTTATTTCTCGCGCTTGTTTTCAGAATCTGAATCTGACTCTGAATCTGAGTGCACTCTGGCCGCACCCTAAGATTAGGTCACAACACTAACCTAACCCACTGACCACAAATATCTATTAGGCTTAGCGAAATTATGTAGAGTAATATGTTGTCGTCTTTAAAGTATGTTATTATGAATTCGGACACATAAACAAAAACATTCGGCCAATTTATAATACTACTTAATAAAAAATATGCCTTACAAATATTCGTTTATAAAAGATTATGCCAAGTGTGTTATGCCAAATGAATTTCGGAGCAACAAGTTTCTGCCAGATAGAGGGATCCTGCAGTCTACTACAATACTCAATAATAACCAATGCTGATCTTCCATAGAACCAATGAGTTCGAATCGAATGAATAGTAAAACGTGAGATAATAATTCGAATAATTGAGTAAATATCATAAAGTTAATACTCGTGGAACAGTGATGTAGAAAGAGTATTTGAGTCTCGTGAAGCGTGAAGTAAGAAATTAATTTATAAAACTGTTTACCTCAGCCTCAGAGAAGGTAAGTTTGTGCTTTGTGCCAAATAGTTTCAAAATATCAGAAATAGAATACACTTGCGTTTTAATTAACAAGTAAAAAAGAACAACATTGGAGTGCTGTTGTATGTGCTGTATAGACAGTATCCTTTGATTTCCCAGTAATAATAAAATTGTATAAAAAAATATACAACGCCCCAACTAATGGTTGTCATAATAATTTGTTTATCGACGTTTACCCATGCCCCTAAAAAACTATGCACTGTAATATGTTAGAAATATGATTTTTACTAAATAATATGAAGCGGCATAAAGTAAAACAGGAATTAACGTAACTGCATTGTGTTTTAGAGTACTTTCACGATGTCGGACCGTTCGATCGCGGTATGTATCTCGCTCTCACACGGATTTCATTTCGAATTGTCAAGTGTGTTCGAAGTTTACTTGAGTTTCTTTTCGGTAAATTCGACTCAACTTCTAGTCCTCTACTCAGTGTTCTCTCGTAGAAGTCGCACTTGATTTGTAAGACATTGACCGATTCTATATTTCAAGTGTAAAAGATAAGTCACGGAACAAGTGATCTTAGTTTAAGATGTGTTAATTCTTATTGTTGGCGATGGTGACCTTTATGACCTAATAAAAAAATCAATCAGAAATGCATCCATAAATAATAAAAAAGGTACCCACCTATCTTAATAACTGATATGTACTGGAAATAAAGATGTTCATGTACCTACGCTAACAATTGTTTTTACTAGCAGCCGCCCGCGCCTTCGTCCGCGTTAACTTTAGTTTTATTTGGAAAATCCCTCGAGAGTCCTAACGTTTTCCTGGGATAAAAGTCTTATAGTCTTCATCCAGGTCATTAACTATATGCATACCAATGTCATCCAAATCTGTTCAGTAGTTTTTAAGTGATTGAGTTACAAATATACAAACACATAAAGATACAAACTTTCTCATTTACAATATTAGAAGGATGAAACCATTTTTATTTTGCTACCAATTCAGTAATTTATGAGAAATATGTTCATGATATTTTTTATTGAAATCTGTGAATGAAAATTAAGATTTACCAAGTGACTTTATTTGAAGTTGTTTGTCATCTCCAGTCTCGACCAAGTGGGGAGCAGGTGATGGCCATAGTTGATTTCATGGAGCAGCATCCAGTGCTGGCTCTTGGACAAATGAGGGGTGTCGAAGGCCGGGAGGAGAGTAAGAAGCTCTGGTTCCAGTTGACAAGGATAGTGAACAATATAAATGGCCCTACCAGGCCTATGAAATCTTGGATTAAGGTATGGAGAACTTATACTTAAAAGTTCAGTTTTCAGGACAGATGTTCTGAAAAAATTAATAAATAAATAAATATTTCCCACACACTCCAGTTAAACTAGCCACAAAGTAAGCACTGTTAGGCTTGTGTTATGGGATGCTAGGGTAACGGATAGAATACATTTGTGCTGATACGATACATATATAAATATATTTTATTCAGAAATATATATAAAAATCCATAACTTGGGTACAAATGTTAATATAATTCATCACACAAACATTTGCTCCCACCTGAATTAAAAACCTCAGGATCTGCGAGTGTCCACACCTTGTAATCTGACGTTTATACCACTAGGCCATAGAGCTTGTTGAAAAACTTATATTGTACGATAAGACAATGCATAAGTATTAGATAAAATTTCACGTTACACAGTTTTATAAGACAAAAATAAGGCTAAACACTGATTTATGTTTACAATATAGACTGTTGAGTTTACCAACAGGAATTTATTGCTAGGTACAAAGGAGTATGGAGTGCTATAAATTTTTTAACACACTTCATTTATATGTTTTATTCCATGTCACTGTTTCCCCGCCCATTTTGGACTCACAGAATCAAGGGTCCATTTTATAGTTTTATGATAAGCCTTCTCCAGGCTCTAGCTCCAATTTTACCAGAAAATTCACTGTGTACCCCTCAAATTAAATTGTGTTTGCTACATTACCATAAGAGTCCAAATAAACAGAAACTGAATAACTGCCAACTCATGCTTATAAAATGTTGTATTTCAGTTTTGGGCCGACAAAAAATCTACAGTCAGAGCCAAGGTACAAGCTGCTGGTGATCCTAACAGTCTATGTTCAAATATAGAGAAGAAAATATATGACTTGTTTCTTGCTAATGACAACACTGTTAGTAAGTATATTATGCATTATTTTTTGTTAATTTCTCTTCTCTGCTAATCTATTAAATCTTCTGAGGACTATCCATACAACTTCTTACTTAAGTTGGCTGCTTAGTTAATGCCAGTGAAACACTTAATTAAATTAATCGGGTTATGAGCGGATCCCACAATTTTCGTTTCCTCAAAAATCATCATAGCATGTTATCAGATGAAATCAAGGTAGTAGTCAAAGAAAAAAGTTTGGGGGAAAACAAAAACAAGGGGAACCGCTCCTAACCCAAATAATCAATGAATTATGTAGGTATTTAATGAATTATATTTCATCTATTTGTTGGTGGTGGTGTGGATTGTACAAATCATAAAGAAATGTTTGCACTTTTTGGAATGATCTGTATTATGAGCAGACAAAGCACCAAATCTGTCCGAAAGTTGCAGTCCACTTGAAATTCATTTCCTCAAAGAAAAAAATAAAATCATGACTAACTTACAAACAGTATCTGATCAGGTTTGATAAATAATTTCTACAAAAGGTTGATTCGATTGCCAATGAAGACTTTTGGAATGCCGGTCGCCAGGTGGCAGCACTGAGGCGGAAGGACTATTCATCTGTCAAATCGCATCATACCTATATCGTCAGTGTGGATCAGTTTCAAGCTCGTTCGATTAAAGGCAGAAACAGAATTTTGAAACGCGATGCGACCTGACGCCACTTGACGCGTGTTGTGTCAAAATCAAATCTATTATTTTGTATTATGAGAATCACATTAGGAACATCCGACGCGACGCGATGCGCGCATACACCACCCGATTCCATCTATCCAGATCGACGTGTTGGTGGTGGTAGGTAGGGTTTCAGGTAACACCTGACGCCACGATTTAGTTCTATTAGAATCTTCTTGAAAATCTTATCTGACTCGCTATTAGATACATGGCACACGACAACACAACTATTCAAAAATTGCTAAATTGTTGGTAATATGCACAGTGCACATCGACACGTGGTGTCCCGTCGCGTTTCAATATTAAGTTTCCGCCATAATTCGCGCCAAAAACATCATACAAAATACCTCACGTCACAGTGACGCCAACTAGTGACGTGGATTTTTCCAACTCATTTATTTTTCATAACACTAAACAACCTTAATTCATTAATCACTTACTGTTAATTTTCAGACCAGAAGAATATGTCTGTGAAGCAGGAGTCACATTTTATTGAAGAGCCTTACTTTAATGAAAACAGTATGGATCAGAGTACCGAAGCTCAGCCGGCGTTGGCCAGCGATCCAGTGGGTGATGCTGAAGACCAACACATTGTAATCTTGCAGAAATTGGTGAGTACTTTAATCTATTTATTCTTTATTATATATGCATCTTCCCTATTCTTTACTATTTACAGTATTACAATATAGTAAATAATATTACAATAACTTAAAAACAACTTAACATATAAAATTTGTATACAAATTATTCTAATTTACAAAATGAAAAATATCCGCCGTCAGAAATGGTGCCCAATAGGCTGGCAGCATTGCCACGTTGAATGGCAAGGCTGATCCGTTGACCAAGATAGCTGCCAGCCTTTTGGTCTGAAGCCACTTTGGTGAGTCTCTTTGATAATTCCTTAAATAAGGAATGAGTGCTTGGACACCATGCGCCCATAGTCTCAACACGAAACGGCACAAATATATAGTTCTCATTGAGAGCTGAATATTTGTGCCCGCAGCATGGGAGGTGCGGCACGGAGCAAGCTTATCTACGCAAGTTGCGTCCATAAAAGAGGACGAAACTGCTTCCATGGAATGAGTGTCATCCCGTCAGGTCCCTTGCCTCTCAGACGTATTTGCCCTTAGCACAAGCTCGATGCATTGAGATAAAGAAACAGCGACTGAAGGCCATGCAGAACGAGGGATTCTTTTTATTATAATTCTTAATATCATACATTTAAGGTAGAATATTTTAATGACACCCGATAATCAAATATGAATAAACAAAAAAATAATTTATCTGATATTAGACTGATCACAGCCTTTTTTATTGTAGAATCAAAGATTCTAATCTTCTAATAAAGCTTGAGATTTGCTTAACATTCAAGTATGGTTTACTTTGGGGCTAGCCTTATTGGTAATAGTCACATTCATAAGGGCTAGAAACACATTGAATTTGCATTTGTATTGGGTTGTTGGGTTTTCTACCGTTTCGCTGCCATCGTTGAAGTGAAGCAACTTTCGCAATGGTTGGTCATTGGATGGGTGACCAAAAATCTTCTGTCACGAGTGCCTCCGTGCTTCGGATGCACGTTAAGCCCTTGGTCCCGGCTGCATCTGCAGTCGTTAGCACACGCCAATTCGCACTGGGACCGCGTGATGGGTCATGGCCCAATCTCCCTATTCCATCCATTGGGAAGACCTGTGCCCCAGCAGTGGGAGATTAATAGGCTGATGATGTTGGGTTTTAGGTAACCGTAATGAGTGACCAAGCATCTGCGTTGACGCAACTCGCTCACGCCTCTCACGCGAATTCGCAAGCCATGGAACGACTGGCAGAAGCTTCCCAGATACAGGTAATCTATACATATAATAAAATGGTAGGAAAGTCAAAACTGTTAATTGAATATTTTTTTAAAAGAATACTTGGGGTGTGGTCTACAATCGATAACGAAGCTAAAAATATAGTTTATAGAATTTTTGTCTGTTTGTCTGTATGTATGTCCGGGATAAACTCAAAAAGTACTGCATGGATTTACTTCAAATTTGGCACGAATATTATTGAGAAGTCGGGTCAACATATAGGCTACATATTATCACGCTATCACCTACGGCAAACGAGCAGTGAACCTTTATTTCTAACTAACTCCACGCGTACGAAGTCGCGGTCGGCCGCTGGTTTTTTATATTAAAAGGGTGGCAAATTTGCGTATGGCCCGCTCGATGGTAAACTGCCGCCATAGCCTATACACGCTTGCGATGCCAAAAATATTACTCGCGTCCACAGAACACAGAAAGAGGTTAGAAGGGTGCTCATAGACCTATATATAGACGATATCGCCGGATCGCTCCCACTATAATGCGATTCAACTAAGAATAGGACCGACTGGGCGCCATATTGTGACGTCATAGCAGTCAATTCAAACCAAAAGTAGAGAGAGCAAAAAAAAGTTTTTGTTTAAAACTTATATACTAAGATTAAGTGAGATTTTTTTTTAAACAAAATTTATTTACTAACGTTGAGAAAAAAAACAACCGATTTTTGATAATATTTATTTATTAAGACTGTAAGAAATAACACTAATCAGAATCTAGCTCTCAAGTCCGCTCATATCTGCATTACCATAGGAGCAGTTATGAATAATCATGCACTATTACTAGGTCACATACGAACATACATTCTTTATGTAAACGAAAGTTTAAAATCGAGTTTCTGAACGCAACTTAAAGGGACATTTGGTTGACGATTTAGGTTATCAACCATTCATAGCCAAAGCTCAATAAATGGAAAAACAATATCAACCAATATTTGTTATTGTTTTTTTACAAATGTTTGGTTTTTATTCTAGAATTAGCAGAGTGCTAAAAAGGGTTCCAAGATATTTTTGCAAACCGTACTTTTCAAACGACATTTGACAGATGCAGGTCATTGGCTGGCCTATCCTTATTTGAACCGCATTATACACTTCCACCTAATACATAATAGCCAATCAAACGACGCGGCATCAAACAATCGGCGCAATCAGCGCTCACGCCCGAGAGCAACGACGCAATCACCAGGTTTTGGTTAAGTTATGAGCTATTTGCTGACACATAGCTGTGGCGCGCCTGCCCCGCCCACAAGGCCCTTTTAACCTCTTTCTGTGTTCTGTTACTCGTGCCGTTGCTTACCCTGGCCCAATCCCCTACCCCGTGGAGCCCTGGAACCTTACCCACCGACAGAAACACAACACCACCAAAAGGTTGTGTTATTTCACTGTGGTACTCTGTAAGGTGGAGGTCCCCTAGACGGGCGTTCCAATTCGAGCGGAAAATCCGCTATGCCCTACCTCTCTTGAAAAAGTATTATATTATTCAATACCTTTATTAAATTGCAGGAAAACTTAGAATATTGTATTGAATCCAATCATTAACCTCCCATAGTAACGGGTTCGAATCCCTGTAAACCTGTAAAGTTTGGCTTATGCACAAAGAACTATTGTGCTACTGGCACTCGTATCTAGTTATTTGATTTATTGTCGAGTATGAAACAGAAAGGACGGGAAATATGAATAACTAAAATATATACATTTTTAAGTTATGATGTCGATTCTGGGCATGATTCTCTAAAGCTAAACTTTAATTTGAGAACAGTGCGTCCTTGTCATTCTCTATACAGAAGGGAAAGGAGAGACTGATGTTAAATTTAGTTTTAAGTTTAGAGAATCACGTCAGAATCGACACCATTATCTATCTATATATAATATATAAAACTCAAAGCCCAAACCACTGGACGGATCGGGCTGAAATTTGGCATGCATGTAGATGTTATGACGTAGGCATCCGCTAAGAAAGGATTTTGATCAATTCTACCCCCAAGGGGATAAAATACCGAAGCGAAGCGAAGCGAAGGCGGGCCCCTAGTTATATTATAAATTAATAAAACTTGAATTCTGTTCTGAAATGTTGAATTTAAACAAGCATCTACTGAACAGGTATTATAACTATATATATCGATATATTACCAGTCGGGTAGTATGGTTGTGAACATAAAAATATTCTCTTGAATCATTAACCTTCCAAAGTTACGGGTTCGAATCCCTGTCAAGATAGTATTTATGACGAGCACAAACAAACACAAATTTTAGAATCATGTTTAATGTATATACCCTATTTGATTCGATGTATTTTTGTGTTGCATGGAATCTAGAGATCCAGAGTTTTCTAAACCTGCAGAGAGTTGAATATATGCCTTAATTAGTTATATTAATTTAAAGGCGCGGGCTTTGGATCGCTTGGCGACTAGTTTCGAGTCGATCGGCGCCGCCACACACGACGTAAGAACCGCCATCATAGGCATCGACGCTTCTATGAAACGCTTCTATACAAATTCACCCACTTAGCATAAAACTGTCTTAGCCAGGCAATTATACAAAGTCATACTCTTTAAGCCCGTTGGTGCAATGCTTAGCGCCTTTGGTGGAAGTTAAGCAAGCTTCGCATTGGCTCACTAATTTAATATACGATTAAGTATAATTCTGAGCTAGGAAATTATACAAATTCATAATTTCTAAGCTCGATGGCACAGTGGTAAGCGCGTTTTGTGGAAGTAAGTAAGGAACATAAGGAAGCAAGTCAGTGAATGGATTATCTCTCACTTCTCCGTGCTTCGGAAGGCACGTTAAAGGATGATTCATTCTAGCCTGTGTCGGGGCCGAGACGAGCGTCGGCCGTAGTACGGTCAACCAATATTACATTTTATATGGACACACACTACACCGAGCGGCAACCGAGCAACGGACACCGCTCGGAAACAACTCAGTCCCGCCTCGGCTCGGCCACGGCCCGTTTAAGAATGCAGCTCCATCGAGACTCGGTCCCACCCTTGTAAAGGATGACTCACGCTAGACCGTGTGCCGGGCCCGACACGAGCGTCGGTCTAATGGCGCGATTACACTTGGTCGTTAGCCCGAATTCGGGTAAACGACTAAGTCTAAATGAACGGAGTCGAGTACGCCCGTATTCTGGTAGATTTTCTTTTGTTTACCCGACACCGTCTTCCAACCCGTATTGCAGTATAAATATTGCTTCGGGTGCCCGAATTCGAGTAATGTCTTTCGTGCACCCGAATACGGGCTAACGACTAAATGTAATTGCGGCATTAAACAATTTAGTCGGTTACCGTTCGGCTCGGTATAGCGTGAGTGTGTCCATATAAAATGTCTAAGTTATATAAGTTGAGCGTGCCCGGCCCGAATACAAAACGGGGTGTAGCGTGAGTCATCCTTAAGAGCGGACGCGAGCTAAGAGACATTTGAGAAATAGGTATTTGAAAAAACTATTGCTGTCACGCCTCGGGAAATACCGTGCGATATACAACATAGCTAACGCTGAAAATTGCGTATACAAATTGCAGAAAACGATGTTTGGACTCTCGACGATTTTTTTCTCGAAAATGAGATATATGTAAAATAAATTTTGCCCGTAGAATAATTAGCAGTTATGCTAGGCCATGTTTTGTTTTTTGTAAGTAAATGCTTATTGAATTTCCATATTAGACGACTTTAGTAGTGATAAAAATTTGTGTTATATTGCCAATTTTTGAGGGCTTCTAGTTGTTTTGAAACGCAAGTTATCGAAAAAATTAAGATATAGGAGCATAGAATGAGTAAAATCATATTTTATGTATGCAAATAATTTCTTTAGTAATAAAAAACAAGGAGGAGTCAGTCGAGAACGTTTGTACGGAAAAAACATTGCCCGCCTCCCCTTTTAAGTGTCGCCGCATACGGGCCACCGACCACAACCACAAAACGCCGCCACCGGCATATTTCTTGTACTTTTCATACATTTTCTATGGACCCGCCACACACGGTACGCCGGTGGCCGCCACACGCTACAAACCGTCGTTGCTCGCTTCTTGTGGCCCGCACCGGCCACTTAATGCGGCGATAAAAACGCCGCCACACGTCACCCGCGCGATTCCCCCACCCCTCTCTCTCTTACCTTAGTCGGCCGCTGTCGCGCGCTTCAGCCACTTTAGTAGCCGCTTCTAGCTTCTCGTGGCGGCGTTTGTGGCTGTGGCGTGTGGCCCGTGTGCGGCGACACTAAGTCGTTAGTTCCGGCTGTATCACAGGGCCCGTGTGGTGGCTTAATCCCATAATAATTACTATTGTGTACTTCCAATTTCATTCATCATAGTATAAGAATTATAAGCATAATGCAGTCTTTATGTGGATATATACGCTGCTCTGATATATATATATATAATATGTTTGTGGAAGCTATACAGCCCACGTTGTATACTTCAGTTTAATTTTTATGCAGTACATATAGTTTTGTGAATTTATGTTATAGCCTGATAAACATTCCTCTGTAAAGTGGGCTATGCCTTTTATATTTATTTAATGTATGCTAATCTCTCTGTCCTCATAGTATGGTATCTGTCAACGTAAATGTGTGTGGAAATAAAAATGTTCTATTTATTATTGTATGAGACGAGAGAGGAACCACACTTTGAGCCACTAAACGCGTCCACAAGCTGAGTAAATTTTTTTCATACATTTTGTATAGTATCGGCGAAAACTATTGTTTAGCCAGTTTTTATTTATTTTTGAGAAACCAATAGTGATACAAATAGATATTACAGTTACAGTTGGAATTCGAACTTAGTAATGAGAATGGCCAATAACAGGTTTTTACGAATTCAATTAGATATACTAGTAACTAAAACTGTGGTTGTGCAGGCTCAAGTAAGTAGGTAACATGTAGGTATGCATGTTTTAATGCCAGCACCTCTAGCATGACCACTGAAACGGGAAATGATATAGCTTTTTATCGAGTCTCAACTGTCAAACTCCACTGTAGTCTGACAGTTAATGCCGATTTATCGCTTTATCATATCACGTTTCGGTGGTCATAGTAGAGGGGCAGGACGCGTGAGATCGTTGCAAAGCGGCTATTAGTGTTGATATTTAAATTTGGAAATTATTTGTGTTTTGACAAGGCTTTTAATATGAGAGAAAATGTCTATACCACTAAAAAGTTTGTTGTACAAGACAGGTAACCGAGTCAGAATTGCGTTTGCTACCAGGTCTCCCGATTTCACAGGAGATCTCTTGTTTTACTGAAATTTCTCATGTTCTGTTTTTCTACATGAATCTACTGTTTTTCTTGGTAACCTTAATTAATAATATAAATATGTTATAGTCTAAAAAAACAGCTTTGAGGGGCGGCAGAAGCCACGGAAGCACATTCGTTACTGGCGTATATTATCTTGATTTGATTTACCATTCGGAAAAAGTGCGCCTACTGTTCTGCATCTACATACTGTTATTTCTTGTAGCTATTTCTATACATCTACTGCTTTTTTCTGTAAGGCCTCCCGATTTTTAAAAATCGGATCTGGCAACACTGTTTGCTACATAGAAAGTAATATATGGTGGAGTAGCGAATAACGGGGTGATTCTAGTACGATGTTTGGGATTCAAAATTTAATGTTAGTAAAAGTAAAAGAGAAATATTACTTCTTACACTACCACGCGCGGCGGCGACATAGAGGTATAAGAATAGAGTGGGGAAGGCCGCTCTAAAAGTGTCCGTCTACTAGAAAGAGAAAGAAGATGAGAGACCGTTAGCTATCTCTCTTTCTTGTGACACATGGCATCCAATGGCATCACATCGAAATAGTAAGATGCTTACGGTTGCCAATGCGCATGCGCGATTAGAGAGAGAGAGAGAGAGGGCTAGCGGTCTCTTAACATGTTCTTTTTCTTTTTATTAGACACTTCCACTTGTAGTAGAGTCTATATCTCTCCTACTCTATTCTTATACCGCTATGGGCGGCGATCGGTGGCTGCGTCTGGTGGCTTGACTGAGCTGAGCTGAGCACTAGTGGTCGCGTTTAGTGACCGCCACTGGCTCAATGTGAGCTTGCTTTTAGTAAAGCAATTAAAAGTTATTTTATACAAACTCGACACTCGTTAATTTAGACTTTAAGCATGTAATAAAGTAACCTAAGAAATATGCAAATAAATTGATTGTAAATTATTGTATAACAATATGTGAAATGTGAAGAAATAAATTGATCTATACAGAAATGACAAATTTTTATCTTAGTTTTAAGAAATCTGAAGATTTGTATTTATAATCAATAAAAATTAAATAAAAGATTTATACAATTCTGTAAAAGTTGTGCTATTTATTAACGGCCCTTATAGATGTACAAACTCCAGTAATATATCTGTTTATTATATATATCAAAGAATTACATACATTGTGAAAAGTTATATCTATTATGGCTTTACTTTCGATAATTATGAAACTTAATATCTAAACGATTTATAGTTGGTATAAGTTTATTTGCCGGATAGTATGTAATGAATAAAACATTATACTTAATACAAATTATTATTTAGAGAAAGCCTCTTACAATTTATACAGTCTTATTGCCTTATAATTAATCTTATTTCCTAATGTTTCCTTTTGATTAGGTAATTAATGTTGGAGGAGTACATAAGAGTAATCACTCTGCTTCTGCTTAACTTAACCAGACGGTCGAAAATATTATCTTAAAGCTCTTGAGTGCTTTGAAAGGTACAGAAAGCCACATGTCAAGTTACCCAAAACTTTAAGAAATCTCCAGCTAACTTTGAACTTAAGAATGCTTAATTTAAGATTAATAGAACATGAAATAAGAGTACTTCATGTTCTATTGAGATTTTATAGTTTGTGGTAACATTATGTGTGGTCTGTCTGTACACAGAAACCTTGTATATTTCGCATTTAACCTACTCGGTGAGTTAATTAAGATCTCATATATACTGTTTATAAACAAACCTAAAGATATAAGAGAATTGATATGACAAATTATTGTACAACACTAAATTTGGCACTGAAATCTACGATAATATCGTTGCCTGAAATAAAATAGAATACTATGTGTTTTTTTTTAATTTATCCTGATACTTACAAAACGCTCGCTATTTTGTATGTTGCAGTGTCAATACCTATGAATTCTTAATACCGGTTCCTACGACCGTTACACTTAGAGACGTTAACGTTTAATTTCTTTATGTAGGTTTCCGCAATAGCTATACATATTAGACAAAATCTTGAAAAAGGACACTTTTTTGGGCACCTTTCCTACGGTTAGGGCTCTCACAGAAAACTGCGATACGATGCGATGCGAATTGCTGCGATACGATTCGTGCGGCAATGCTTTGGTTAAGGTGACCGTACCTTCAACGTTAGTCAGCCGTATTAAACGTGTTTTAGTAATTGTGACATGTAATCGCAAAAATATTGTTGCACTGCTGTTATTGTTAAATAGATATAGAAGAAAAAGAAGATATTGGGTTCGTCCATTTTTTACTATTATGAACGCTGATGGGAACCATTTTACTCGAAAATATCATGGTCTGACAACAGAAAAAGTTTTTTTTTTAATTTTAGAAAGAGCATATCTTTATTTGAAGAACTTTTGAGTTTATTATCGCCATGTCTACAAAAGCGATCGTACAAGGGAAATCTCAGAGCGGACTTAATTGGCGTCACCAAGTGTGACGTAATATCGCAGGAATGCGCGATGCGATTCAGATTGGAAGTTCTTGCGGTGCATTCATATATTTGCGATGTCATGCGAATTCTCAATTATGTATGAGAGAACTCAATGAGGGAGGTGTCAAATATTTTTCTCGTCTTCCCCAATAGAACGAGATGACATTGAATACGTTTTTCGAAATTATTGAGAAAATTTTACGTTTGTAAGTTGGGTTAGCGTTTTGCGCCTTGCGATGGGCGGTACCTCCTTAGTATTGTTATCGAAACAAAAGTATTTAACTTTTTTTATGAGGTGTATGCTGTTGATCGCAGATGACCTTTACAGCGTCACTGGGTTTGAGGGCGGCGTGATCCTAAGGAGACCTAAAGCCGAGAATTGGCGAGTGCGATAAGACCTTTTGGTACTAAGATGAAATTGACAGCACAGCCCTGCTCGTAAATTATATTAGTGGTAAAATGAGGCTCATCAAGTAAGTAAAACCTCTTCACTAAAGGTAACGTTATCATTCAATAACTCTGAAAGAGTAATAGGAAATATAAAGGGCTTATACACCTCTCTCTATAAATAAAAGGCTTATTAATATCTTCTTAAAATTAGTGCCGATTTCGGTCACGCATACAAGATGGTGATAGTCGCACTGTAACGATTAGCCTAATAGCGGAGATTCGCGATTTTTTATCGGTAAGTGTAAAGTCTCCGATTTAGCTTCAACCTGTTGGTCGCTGATGAAAGCGATAATGGAGACTACGATGGAGGAAGCACCACGTTTCTTATAAAAACATAAAATATTACTATAGATTCAATACATGCGATGTGAATGAAGTTATATTTTTTTTTAAAAGGACATGACTTTTTGTATGGTTGGTCAAGTAGTTCATTTCATTCATTTAGTCTTTTGTTTTAGTAGATTGTATAGATTCAATTATTAAAACTATATTTTAATACCATTAAATAATAGGTTTGTCCTAGAAACCGAAGTTCTTTATTGTGAAACTTATGGTAATATATTACATATAAGTAAAAAGCAGTCTTACTATACAGTGCGATCAAGATCATGTGGCGCGTGGCTAGGGTTACCATCCGTCCGGATAAGTCCGGACTTTTTGACTATAGTCCGAACTTTATCAAAATCTTTAAAATGTCCGGATTTTTTTAATTAATTGAATATGAATAATGAATGTATATATTGATTAAAATACCATAACATTGTGACTAAGTCAGTGATGGTACCATTTTGTGACTAAAAAGTCCGGACTTTTTTTCGAAATGTCAGGATTATTGTCAGGACTTTTGAAATTCCTAAATGTTAACCCTACGCGTGGCAGAAATTGAAATTTTAGGAAGGCGTACTTATAAATAAGCCTTTTATATTTCCTATTAGTCTTCCGCGAGCCTCGAACTCTACAGAAAGGCACAGAAAAGATTACTCTTTCCGAATTATTGCAAATTATAACGATCCCTTTAGTGTGAAGATTTTACGTAGGCACTTATTAATCCTCATGTTACCACTTTGACTAAACTAAACAGTTAATTGACGCCTCTTAGAGCAACTTATAAACATATAAGGAGTTAAGTAGTTATTTCTATAAAAACAACATCCTTATGTAGAGACTTAAAGTTCTCCCGGTACGCTCCATGCGGGAGATCAGGTATCACCTGAGGTACTTTAGCAGTCTTGTGAGGGTGGAGTTCCTTCTCCTCCTGGCTTGGTTGTCGTCGGCCTTAAGGCCCTCCTTGCCTTTGCCGAAACGAGGTGAGCTGTTGGTGGTCAGGAAGAAGTTACCTCGGGCACTGCGAACTGATCAAAACGAAACCTTATAAACGAGATTTTATAATAGGTAAGTACAGAGAGGTAGAGGACAGAGAGAGGTTAGAAGAGGCTTGTGAGCGCGGCAGGCGCGCCACAGTTATGTGTGAGCAAATGCTCATAACTTGACCTAAACTTGGTTATGATTGCGTCGTTGCTCTCTGGTGTGAGCGTTCATTGGTTCGATTGTTTGATGTCGCATCATTTGATTGGCTATTATCTATTAGGTGGAAGTGTAATGGGGACGAACCGGCGACATCGACATCGGTTCACGTATAAATGGTTTGATCACCTTTCGAACCTCTTTCTGTGTTCTGTGGTAAGTACCTACTAACTAATGACGACCTCCGTGGTCGAGTGATTTGTATGCCGGGTTTTATGGTGTCGCCGATTCGAGAGGTCCCGGGTTCAAATCCCGGTGGGGGCAGATGTTTGTGTGATGAATACGAGCTTTTGTACTCCAGTCATGGATGTTTAATATGTTTATCTATAAAAATAGACTTATAAATGTACAGTATATGTATTCTATTCGTTAACCTAGTAGGTATCCCATAACACAAGCTTTATAGTGCTTACTTTGGGGCTAGGCTAATTGGTGTGTGTTGAAAAAAAAACGACTCGTTCCACTATCTGTTTTATTACTGTCGGTCGGGGAGAAGAGAAGTTACAACAGATTGATACTGAGCAAGCATAGAAGGGAATCGCGAAAAGGGTTCCCTTGGATTTGGGCTACAATCTTGCCAATTATCAGGAATCAGGGATATTAACGATATTGTCATAAATCAGCTTTAGTTGTTTATATCAGTCTGGTACTTTCGTTCGTCCATATAAGCAGACAGCGAAAAAAAACTCGCGGTAAAAAGTTCTTCCCAGTCTTCCAGGATAATGAATCATCCATCTTTGTGTTAAAGACTTGTAGGAGTACTTTGGTACATTGAAGAAATACCAAGTGCTTGTTTTCATGTTAATGAACATTACGGGGAAAATACCTATGCAATTAATTTTATATAGGTTTTTTGGGAAGTTATGTTTAATTTTTTTATACCTAGTTACTTGGGTAAAACAACAACTTTATTCACATTAACTTTTTTGGTACAGACAGACGCAAAAACAATAGTCATCGATCGATTGAAGAACCACAGTGACTAGCATTTTTATAAGTTTTTGTGTGTTTTCTTGCTGTATTTATTTAATTATCGTTATAACCTCAGTTTTTGCACGTGGGTGAGCGAAATGATGCGGAAACCAGAGTTCAACCCATTTTTTTGTAGCCTTCACAAGGAAAATACAAGGAAATATTTATTAATATTGTCTAATGATCTAATGGTGGGTTTTTATTGGCGAATTTCAGCCGTCTGATCTAGCTGTTCGATTTTTATTGTTTTTAATAATCAAGAACTATAAGTTTTTTTTATTGATGGCATAGCAATTGACTGTATCTTGCTTGTTGTTAAGCAAAAAGGAATCTAAACGTCAAAATATTTCATACGACAAATGTGATGTTAGCAATGGTAAAATATATAATAATCATGAGTTACTCCGTTCTCGGAAGGCATGCTAAGTTGCATCTCATCATCATCATACATACACGCACGTAACCACGCACACAAACACACGCACACACAAACACACACACACACGCACACGCAAGCACACACGCTGGATAAAAATGAAACACTAACCATATATTTTGCCAATAACTTGCTAATTCTATTTAGCTTTAAAATACTAAACATTGCCTTATACGCTTCTGAAATTACCAAGTAAACGTGTCATTTTTTGGAAGATACTGACTCCTAATACACAGGTAAATCCTATATTTTTAGGAGTCAGGGTCCCTTATGATTTGTATTCTGGTATTTATCCAATAAAGATTTTTATTATTATTATTTTATTATTATCTGCAGTCGTTAGCACCCACGAATCCGGAATAAGTAGGAACGCGCTGTGGGGACATTAATAGGCTGTTGTCGAAGAGGTTATTATGAGTTTGTGTATCGTGTGTTGGTCCAGTCGCTTAATTTTCTCAGCCTAGATGTCACGGACATCCCTTATGCAGAGGACGCATGGAAGCAAAAAAAAACAGCTACTCACATTCTGCTGGACTTCAATAGAGTGCTCGAATATTAGCCAAAATACCTCGGCTTACTGGTAATCCGCCAAGAGGCAATCACCAATGTGAAGGAATTGGGGGCTAGCGAGATTATCTTCGGTAATATACCCTCTACACGCAAAACAGGCGCCATAAAAGGACGTTGAACGGAATGTTACAAAGAAGAGCACTTTCCAAGCGCGTTCTATCGTTAATACCACGAGCGGGTGTTCCGATGAGTTATTCTCCCTACACCTTTCCTTCAGAGGACCGTGCGCTGGCCCACGTTGCCATCGACTTACTGTGACCCTATTCTAACACAAACAAAGTGGTTTGGTGACTTATTTGTCGCACTATCCGCAAATGGAATGTTTTGCCCACTCACATATTCTCTCCCTCCTACAACACGCAATCCTATAAGAGACGTCGAGAAGCACTTTGCAGGCCGGGAAGGAGAAGGTTTTCGCTTTCGGACTCCACCGTTACTTAACATCAGAGACATTTGTCGGACCTTTTTATACATGAAAAAAGAACAAGTACCGTGTGTTAGTCAAGTCTCCCATGTATACGAAGTTGTCAGTGCGGGCCGTAGCACCAGCGCCGGCGGCCCACGCGGCACTGTCGGTTGCTGAAACCGCGGGGAACGCCGTGGGAGAAGACACTGCCTCAACGAAGTAGCGCCACGCGCGATCGTGGCTGCACAGGTCTGGAAAGTAACGCTTCAGCTCTAGCTTTCAATAGAAACAGAGAAGTACAGTGATTCTACCAGCTGTTTATGAGGGTAGGTATTGCTTATTTGCAGATCTAAAGAAAATTCCACTCGAAAGCATTTAATTAGGTCCAGGCCTTGGTAACAGATGGGAATCTAACCAGGGTTCTTCGCTATCCGTGCGAATGCAATGACCGTTATGCTATCGGGGCTTTTAACTATCTCTTCGAATTGCTTCTGGTAGGTAAATATATTTTAGTAGGCTACAAGGCGCGCCGCCTCTTGACATTGTAGGTAAGGTAACTACAATGTCAAATGAGATAGGTACTCAATACTTTTAACTGTTAAAGATTCAACGGAAGAAATAGAAGTATAGTTTTTATTATATTTATATATCTTTATATATCGTCTGTAACTTGTCAAGCCACAACATAGAGAATCATCTCATCTATTCATCTACCTTCAGGGCTGAACATATCGAAGTCACCGTTAGGGCAGCCGGGCTGCGTGGAGCCGCTGCCCGCGTAGTTGGGCCAGAAGTCCACGGTGCCCGTGGCAGCACTAGTCCCGTAGCCGCCGGGGTCGCTGTGGATAATGTCAACGAATCTGGCGCAGGTCCTGTCTAGCCCGGAGCCTAATGCCAGCGAGCCTTCGAACAACGCCCGCGCGGGGTCTAAGCCAGTTATCCTGGACAAATAAAAGTTTATGATGGATAAGTTTTCATAAGACTATAAATGTGTACGTTTTTAAAGATCTTACGCCTAATCTTATATAAATTTAAGCAATATTCGGGTCCACTTGAACCAAAGTTTTTAATTCAAATTAAAACTTAATCGTGTTTAACACACATCATTCCATCTTTGTATTGACAAAGATGACATTGAGATAGAATGGAGATTTAACACGATTAGCTTTTAAAGATTTAAGAAGTGCTTTGGCGCAAGTGGGCGTCGAGCAACATGCAATATACCTTTTTTATGCGGTAGGTACTTATACATACAAATTACCTCGTTTCTGTTATAAAGAATGACTTCGTGGTGAATTGACTCATATCAAAATTTGTTTTATGATACCTATATGATCTAAGGACCTTCATTTGCTATGTAGACTTACCTTGAGACAACATATCCGTTCTCCCTGGCTCGCTTGCCCGCGTATCCCATGATGTGAGCCCCGAGCGAGTGCCCGACCAGATGCACGTGTGTCAGGTTCACACCTCCCTGAGCCATCTTCACCAGGCTGTTGCCTAGTTCAACGCCGATCTAACGAAACAAATTTACAATAACCAACGAACTTTAGTGTAAAATATTTTAATTGCCGAAATTATTTATCTTTTCTTATTTTGCTAGCCGGTCGCCGCACCGGTTACGGTAAGGTAGGGCGTATCGGATTTTCTGCACGAAATTAGGCGTGTGAAGACCTCTACCTTCCAGAACACTGCCTTTTGGTAGTATTGCGATAACTTTTGGCTGTTTTAAAGTTCCTGGGCTCTACAGTGTAGGAAATTTGATTCAGGCCAGCAAAGTCAGGATGGTTAGAGCGATATACATTTTCGCCATTACTGTTATCTTCGTGATTGGACTCCACTTACACTTGTGGAGTGAGATAGTAAAAACACTGTGCCATATATAAATTAAACCACAGAACAACATAGGGAAGGAACAAGCCATAATACACCGGCTATAAGGAGTATAAGTTTTCAAAGTTACGATTTGCATCTCCGCTAGAATTAGGAAATATTTGCTCTGTGATGTCACACCGCAAATACTCGTAGGAACAGTTGCCAGAATTTATTTAGCAAAGTCTTAATATTTAGGTACAGACCATCGTCATAAACCTCGATGGCTGCATCGCGGTTACTTTTTAACGTGTGCCTTAGGATCGCATTTGATAACAGTACCCTTAGCACGAACCAATATCGAATTCGTAACGTTTGCAAGTACGAAATATCATTGTCAAATGTGTACTGATTTTTAGATCTCGTTACCTCCGTTATGACGCTGCTGTTCAAGTTTCCGTAATTACATTTCAGACTTGCAAACTATTCAAATTCGATAATGGTTCGTGCTAAGAGTACAGATCGAATGGCCGTCTAGCTACTAAGTAAACACGCTACGCCATAGAAATGCTTACCCTTTTAGCGTTAGGAACGGCGTTCAACATGTACCCCAGAGGTAGACCTAAGGCGCCGCTCCTAGCTTCGTCCTCCCAGTCGAGTAGAATGACGTTCCTCTTCCGTGTCGCCAGATAAGCGCCTATCACCGCCGTGGTAGCCGGCCCGGCGACCTTGCCGCGGTAACCAAACGTGTAGATAACTGTCGGAAGATTGACGTCGATGCATGATGATGAGACTGATGGCGGTGTGTTCAACGGAGTGGTGAGATAGCGGTCAGGAGATCTGTAACAATGTTGCTGTTGTTAGTAAGACCTGATGCTAAGTACGCAGATAACCTAGACACCAAATTCCACGACAGAATATCTCCGTGGGAGAATCACGACTATTCACGACCCTCAGTAATGAGGAAAACGACGCGAAGAGGAAGACTAAGTAAATAGATAATCGGCAATTGGCAAAGGCTGTTAATTAGAGTGTGTGGGTTGGTACTCTTGGAATACTTTTTTTCTCAGTGATTATTAACAAAAAGCTAAAGGAAATAGGATTTAGGTTTATAACAATCAGGCTCTCCTACTTTCTCGGTTAAAAGTGTGTATGTATTGAAGCAAACAATCAACATAGGTTTTTAGCCTCAAAAACATACGTTTAACTATTCACAAGGGAAAACTCATCAAGGATTCGTTGTTAAAACATATGTAATTAAATTTGACTGTTACCGACCGGCCGCGTCAAATACATAGAAAAATATGACATATGCTTATTTTTTCTATAGTATTTTAACCGTATTTAACTGTAGTCACATTTAAATAAGTATCAAAATTCGATTTTGTCATTGACTATAGATAATATTACCGTGACTTAGGTAACAAAGGTGTGGAGGCGGAGTTATTTTAAAATGTGGAACCCCTGGCCATTTATGATTTGCCCTCGCCCTGGTTGGTGACCGATCGAAATTTAGTTATTTTTAATCTCTGTTGCAGCCTGGGCCCTCTCTTGTGGGGGCCCCTATTTTAAAATCTGGAGCCTGCCCTGTCTTAAATCCAGCCCTGAACAAACTTAAGGGAAAAAGGTTACAGCAGCTCATGTACTAGTTCTTTAAATAAAACTAGTTTTAACGGGTTAATGCACGAACTTTATTTATTTATTGACGTTTCGGAGCCTTTTCAGGTCTGCATCGTCAGAATAATCATTATTTTGAGTTAAAACTAGATTTATTTAATGAGTGATGTTTGTGAAAACCTAAGAAACAAATAAACTAGTTCTTTATTAAGAGAGGGCATAGCTGATTTTCTTCTCGAATTGGGGAACCCCACCGTGGGAACGACCGCGGCAATGTAATAATGTCCTTTTGTTGAATATGCCAGTGGGTAAGATTTGGGGGTGAGGTAAGAAACGTGTATGTGTTTCTCTGGTATTACAAGGATCTATAGGTTTCTATATTAAAAAAATAGGTCTGTGAATAAATATCTTTGCGGCAAATGAGCGACGTCTCTCCTACCTCAATATCCAACTCGTAAGTGGAAGTTAGGCTATATTTTATATTAGTTAAGTATTAAATTGCTAGATTTTTATTATAAGGAATATTTCAGATCACCTAGGGGTCAGGCTAAAATTAAAATCAGCGGTGTTCGTTATCTGGTAGAATGCATTGATATTCAGTAACGAATTCACTTCATAGCAAAGGACAAAGAAGGTGGCCCTAAGCAGTTGATTTTTCCCAGTAAAAAAACATCACATGAAGATTGGCTATTTATTATAAACACTTTAAACCTGCAGTTAAACTTGCTATTAAACTACATAGGTTGGTTACTATGTAGCCACATGCAACAATAGTTCTATAAATGTCCAAGGTTGCGCTGCTTTTCAAAAAACAACGTTTTACGTCTTTAAAATATGACGACTTTGGTTTAAGTAGGTATATTGTATTTTCTGTAATACATGTATTGCTTGGCACTTTACATGGCTTAATGGCCGGTGCAGAAGAGGGGCTTTTGCCCGCGGACTCTTTTGTACGCCAAAATAGAACTATTTTGGCGTACAAAAGTCCAAAGTCAAAAGTAAAAAGTCAAGTACCAAAAAGTTAGTGGACAAAACGCCTCGCGCACGGACGTCCTTAAATACTAAACGTTCAACGAGGCGCATTCTATTCTGCTTTTTCAGAATGGAAAAAACCTAACGTTTGAATCGAAATTCTAACTAATAAAAAAAACGAAACGTCTGCAATATGAATAATTCCGTAACAGAAAACCGTTCGTGTGCGCATAATCTTAAAGAGATGGAGCCAGTATTCTCCTTTAAAATGCCATCTCTTTTTCTTAAACTTCATGTTGACAACAAAATGTAATAGCAGAATATTTACTTCTTTATCATTTTAACTTGCGCAATATAATATAATAAATATAATATCATTTATTTATTTCTCATGTCCGGACAACTTGTTCGCACGCCGTGTGCATTGAGTTCGTGTCAAGTCCTAGGCGGATACTTTTTTCACGATTCAGAGAATTTGTCCTCCTGTGCGCAGGCCAATTTGGCAGCATTCTCTTCTTTGCATTCATAGATGAATGATTGGTCTCGCTTCGTCGACTGAAGCGAGACCAATCATTTATCTATGTTTGCATTCCCAATAGTAAAATTAAGGAAATGGGTGCATCTTATAAAGATGCAACGCATGTCATCAAGATAAGATCAACTCACAAGAAGTAGTTTCTCTTAAAATCTTTTCAAAAAAGAAATGTAAATATTTTGTGTGGGGAATTACTGCGACCTATGCGAATACATCTCACTAGAGATATATATTGAAATATATTATTTCTAGACTTTTAGGAATCTTGTCCTACAGCTTGATGGAGCAAGGCAGTTGCTCTGATATTCTTTAGTTCCCAAAGTAGAATAGGTAACTAGGCCTCGTCCTCGATAAATGTAGATTTTTGAGTATCCCACAGGAAACTAACATTTTCCTGGATATAAAGTATCCCATGTCTCAATCCAAGACATAAACTATATGCATATCTTATTCATTTCATAATCGGGAAGGAGATTAGTTAGAGAAAAATCGATATATATGTTGATAAATTAATAAAACTACTGTGATACTGTCCTACATTTTGAAACAAACATTATGTCAGGAACGTGTCTGATACAGTTTTGGTACTCATATCAGCTGGTCGATGTGCCAAATGCGCTTGCGCACTAGTACCTGGTATCATTACATTATCGAGGCCAGCGGTTGAACTTGTCGTATCGCAGGAAGGAGGCAACATTATGCCATTGGATTCGTGTCACGTTGATGTTACGAGGATGGTTGTGTAGCAGAAAGCTGAGCTGGTTTTCAATGGGATCAAATTAAGTTTCGATGTGCTTTGAAAATCTTCCGTCCTTCCGTCTTGCGTGACGACTTAAGCATTTTTTATTACCCTTTAAGATCTGACATTCAATTGAATACAGAAACATTAAAGCAATACTTGAGAACCATCTTTAGTTAAATTTACTCAAAAAAGTACCTACATATTTAGTATGTGAATTGAAAATGAGGTGCTCAATGGCGAGGCGCCGTCCTAATAGGCCACGATCGTACGATGACACGATCTCGTCGTGCGATGAACATAATCGTACGATGATAGAACAGGGATGTAGTCTTACGATGATCTCGCACCGTTATCAACTTACCAGCGTCATTTGACAAAGGCTCTTTACAAATAGAGATGCACAGTATTTGCTGTCGCGCAATATTGCTTTGTAAATTTTTAATAACGTTACGCGAGTGCCTATGCGATTCTGAAACTGTCTTCATCCTTTAGCCAGCGTTGCTGAGCAACCAATTTATAAGTGGAACGCGCAAAAGATATTAGTGCATTTTATTAGACGACAGTACGATTGAATCCATCATACGGCTCGTGCGAGGGCATAGGACGGTCCTAATTACAATTAGGACACTGAAGAAATCTGTATGTTTGAAAATCATCGCACGACGAGAACGCATCGCATCATCGTACGATCATTTCCAATAGGCTAGTTTACTCATGTCGAATTGTATTAAATAAATGTTTATTTCTTAAAGTGTTTAGTCTAAGGAACCTTAATATATCGATTTCACTTCATAAAAGCAGAAGATTGCTGTAGAAATTTAATTTAAAAAAATATTTTTTAGTCTATATTATTTAAACACTAAAAACGCTGTTCGCCACATTCGCCATGATTTTGACGTTTCTTGTGGTAAACAACTAAATGTCATTCGTGTGTTACTGTAGGTGGATTCTTTCGTCTGACTAAATTTATCTTAAAACACTTTTAACTTTAGGAAAGAAAAAAACAGTAAACTTAGTTTTTTTTGACTAAACAAATTATGGATGCCCGCTTTGTGAAAGCAGAAATCACAAATCTGCCAAGAATTGACGCATTGATGGTTGGTGAATTTGTTGCACTAAACCCCGATTTCTGCTAGCAGAGCAGAGAAACGACAAGGCATCTATGTAAGTACAGTGCTATTAGTATTACAATGTAGTAATAAACATAAAACTGATACAACATATGAATAAGTGTAATAAAGTTGCGTAGGTTAATTTCTTTCGGCACTTTAATCCACAACTTTCCTGGAGTCTTCAAGGACGTGTTTTTATATTCTCGTACAATACAGTAATGACAATTACTTTATTTTTCGTGGTATTTATTAGAAATCATGTTTTTTTATTATAAACTCAGTTAAAAGTAATTTTCTACGTGTTTACGAGTTTTTGTTTACCACTGTTCACGTCATAGCATAGACAATCTATAGACTAAAATGGCCGACAGCGTTTTTGTATGTCCATGAAAAGTCTATTTTAAAATTAAAGATTTGTAGCTTTCTAGGTTTAAAAAAAATACAATACATTTTTTTTCGGTCTAATAGAACATTTATTAACCATTTAAAACCTTTTTCCAAAAAAAAGGTAAATTTAAAAAATCAAAAAACCCGACTGCTTTATTATACTTCAAATAAAAACTGAAAAGAAAAAAACAAGTCCAGTAGTCTATAATTCTGTTAATAAGGAACAAAGCTACTTTAACAGTCGGGACCCATTAGATATTCAAGAATACATAATATTTTTCAACAGTGGGTCCCGACTGTTAAAGTAGCTTTGTTCCTTATTAACAGAATTATAGACTACTGGACTTGTTTTTTTCTTTTCAGTTTTTATTTGAAGTATAATAAAGCAGTCGGGTTTTTTGATTTTTTAAATTTACCTTTTTTATTTCACACTTTTTAGTCAGTTAGTATTTTAAGACGGTATATACCGTAGTCT